TCATTTTCCTTGAACTTTTTAAATACCCCTCATATATTTGCTTATTTATGAAAGCATTAAATAAGAAAATATAGAGGCAGGTTCAATATTACCATAATCTCAAAGGAGTGATGCACATAAAGGATATTGTAAAAACTCTGCGACAACTTTCATGTAATATCAACATCTGTGATTTTATTGGTTAAAGACACAATATAGTATTAGTACCCCTACTACTGCTGCTTACCTGTATAACTGAAGTATGAGGAATCTCAGTTACAAGTTCATGAATATAAACATGTAAGGTCATGAACTCTCGATTCTGTCCATGGATCCTGGGAGAAGAATCCTGTTTTAGATAGTACTGTCACTGCACTTGGCTGGTTCCTTCTGTCCAAGAGCTATCCACAGGAGACCAGAAACATGAACCAGCAGCAGAAAGAATAGAAGGTATAATTTCACCTTGAGGCTGTGTCCCAAAAAGGACCAGTTAGGAAGTGCCAGTGCCACATTGGGGCATTCTGCCAAAGTCCTATATTTTTAGACTTTGGAAATGAAGTGATTAATATTGTGATTTCATTGAGGGTCAAGCCATAACCTCAGGTTTGGAGATTTATGAAATAGACTTTCCTCAGGGAGTCCCTTAAATTTCTTGGGATGGAAAGACTGGCAAACGGCAGGAAGAATATGTGTGTGTGTGTCTGTGTGTGTGTGTGTACATGTGTATAATTTTTAAACCAAAAGTGATATACTCTAATTCTTATAGCCTGATGTTTTATAATGTCACAATAGAGCATGAATAATTTTCCATGTCAACAAATACAGTTATAGAATATAATTAGTGGCTGCATAGTATTCTATTATAGACATATTTCATAATTTATTTAATAAATACCCAGGTTTGAACGTGTGGGTTATGTACAATCCTCATGATGTCAACAGTGCTCTGATGAGTGCTGTGGATTAAATATTTGCCCACATTCTCGTTTTATTTTCTTAGAGTATTTCTATAAATGGGACAGTTGTATCATAATTTAGTAATAACCACAACAGCAATGCATAGTTTAAAGATTCTTTTGATCAGTATTGTCAAACTGTCCTCCAGAAAGGTTGTTCTAGTTCATACTAGAAGTGGGACCTTTGGCCTTGGCTCAGAAAATGACAGAGACACTGGGAGAATGCCCCTAACTGGTGAGAGTAACAGGATCTCCATATAAGAAGCCCTGCAGGGAGCAGGAAGGAAGCTGGCAGGATTGTGCCTGGGATATTCTACTTTTTTTTTTTTTTTTTTGTACTAGAAATACCTTCAAGAAAAAATGTGGAATGAGACTGAGTCTCCAAGACCTGGGATCCCTCATGTTAACTAGCTTTAAATCATTTGGATAGGCCGGGCGCGGTGGCTCACGCCTGTAATCCTAGCACTCTGGGAAGCCAAGGCGGGCGGATTGCTCGAGGTCAGAAGTTTGAAACCAGCCTGAGCAAGAGCAAGACCCTGTCTCCACTGTAAATAGAAGGCTCACGCCTGTAATCCTAGCACTCTGGGAAGCCAAGGCGGGCGGATTGCTCGAGGTCAGAAGTTTGAAACCAGCCTGAGCAACAGCGAGACCCCGTCTCTACTAAAAATAGAAAGAAATTAATTGGCCAACTAATATATATAGAAAAAATTAGCCAGGCATGGTGGCACATGCCTGTAGTCCCAGCTACTCGGGAGGCTGAGGCAGCAGGATTGCTTGAGCCCAGGAGTTTGAGGTTGCTGTGAGCTAGGCTGACGCCACGGCACTCACTCTAGCCTGGGCAACAAAGCAAGACTCTGTCTCAAAAAAATAAATAAATAAATAAATAAATAAATAAATCATTTGGACAGATCTAGCCTTATGTAGCTGTGCTAAGGAGATCAAGGGAAGGGGCTTGTATCCAAGTCTGGACCACAGTAAGGGATATATAATAATATATAAATATGTATTACTCAGGGAGCACCCCAAGGAGAGAGCAATTTCAGGTGGAAAGTGTGAGCAGAATGGCTACCTGGTGTGTTACCTCCTCACCTGGCCAGCCCCCTGTCAGTGTTTGCTCAAATAATGAGGGGGAGGGACTAGGGGTGTGTGGATTGCTGGAGTAATGAAGGCTTTTTCTTTTTCTTCTTTTTTTTTTTTGAGACAGAGTCTTACTCTGTTCCCCTGGCTAGAGCGCTGTGGCATCAGCCTAGCTCACAGCAACCTCAAACTCCTGGCCTCAAGAGATCCTCCTGCCTCAGCCTCCTGAGTAGCTGGGACTACAGGCATGCACCACCATGCCCGGCTAATTTTTTTCTATATATTTTTAGTTGGCCAATTAATTTCTTTGTATTTTTTTTTTTTTTTAGTAGAGACGGGTCTTGCTCTTGCTCAGGTTGGTTTTGAACTCCTGACCTTGAGCATTCCTCCAGCCTCGGCCTCTCAGAGTGCTAGGATTATAGGCCTGAGACACAGCACCCGGCCTTTTTATTCTTCTTTTTCTTTTTTGCCATCTTTCCGTTTTCTCTCCTTTGTAGTTAGACAATATATATATTCCACGAGGGCAGAAACCACTTGCTACTTCTCTTGTATAACCAACAACGGCAGATGTGAAAAAAGAAAATATTTTCTAATTCTCTCCACTGGTATCGGGGCCTGCCACAAACTGTACTGGATCATTAAAATCTAAGCAGACCTATAGCTGATTATTGTCTCTCCTCCATCATGGTGTTATAGATGTAGATTTGGTTTATTTCTTCATGTACCAAAGATCAATTGTCTCTCCATAATCCCATCTCCCAAATTTACAGATTGTCACTGTCTTCTCCCATATGTTCATCTGCGGTTCCATAGGATGTAGCTCCCCATTCATAATTTAAAGGTTAAAAAGTTGCATCCATCAGACTTGGTTTCCCTGTTAGGAGCCCACCCATGCCAGGGACCCCTGGCCACTGCCCTCCTCTCCAACCCCAGGAGGGACATAAAGGCAGGTGGCGACAAACAGACCCTGGATTAGCATTCGCTTCTCTGAGCACTAGCCTGGCTGCTCTGGCAACGTAGGGCTCTTTTTGGGTGTTGTTTGGACAAAAGGGTCTCCTGGCCGTTTATTATGCACCTTTTCTGGGTTCCACTTTTTGCCTGCTGCAACCGCAGTGTCTCCTTAACTTTTGCAGCTTAGATCTCAGCTCCTAACCGTGGGGCCGTGGGGCCTGCGGTATCTCCCGGGCCAGGTCCCACCAGCCAGAGAGCAATCTTCCTCTCTCTTTACTGTTCCAGGACATCCTCGCTCGCATTTGTCCCAGAAGACCAAGGCTCAGGAAAGTTAAATTGGATTTGAAGCGATGTCTCTTACCCAGGCTTGAGTCCTGAGATTTTTATTTCAGTGTAGCTGCGATTGAATTATCCGTATTTGCTCCCCATCCCCAACCAGGCCTGGAATTAGATTACCTGCACCGTCCCCACCCATCCCTGAACGTCGGAGCTCCGGGCACGGAGAAGTAGAATACACCATCACTTGCAGAGACTTCACGATGTGTTTGGGTGGCTAAAATAGCGCCCCTGAGACGCGGAGCAACCGAAGCTGTCTCCAGTCACGCTCCTGCGCGCGTCCCAGATGCGGCCCCGGGAAGAAAACAAGTGTTTGCGGAATTCGATGGCCAAGGCCCTTCAGCCCGGTTTCATTCTCACCCCACCCCACTTTCTCCCAGGGCATCTCCAGCCCCCGGCCCGCAAAATCCATCCACCAGAACCCAGGGGTGGGCTCTGGTTCCGTGCCTGGCTCCTGACCCCGAGCCGGGATTCTCCGAGCCAGCGCCGGGCGGGCACTCGGCGAGGGCGCGGGGCTGGGGGCCGCGGGGCGCGGGGCGCGGGACGGGGCGGCGAGGCCCGCAGCCGCCCGGGCCGGGGCAGCGCCGCGGCGCGGTCGGGGCAGGGCGGGGAGGCGCCGGCGCAGCAATCCCGGGGCCGCCCTCCCGGCGGCGAGCCGAGCCGGGGCGGGGGAGCCAGGCGGCGGCGGCGGCGGCGACGGAGGCTGCCGTGGGGAGGGATGGAGAGGGGAGGGGGGAGCGGAGCCGAGCGGAGACAGCCGCGGCGCTGCAGAGCGGCTGGGGCGGCGGCGCGGCTGCCGGTGCTCCCCCCGGTGCGCGCCCCGAGTCGGTGAGGGCCCGGCCCGGAGGCCCGGAGCCATGGGCTGCATCGGCTCCCGGACTGTGGGTGGGTACCGCGGCCCGGCGGCGGCCGGGCAGGGCTCGCCCCCTCCCCCACCCCTCGCGCGCCCCCGGGACCCCTCTCCGCACCCGCCTCGCCCAGCCTGGCTCCCGCACTTTCCCTCCGCCCGCTCGGGCTCCCTCCAGTCCTCCTTCCTCCCCGCTCCCTCGCGCCTCCAGGGCTGCCGTCCCTCCGGGCTCTTTTCCTTCTCTCGGTCGCCCTCCCCCGGGCGCGGTCCCTCGCTCCAGCATCTCTCCATCAGCCTCCTTTCCGCTCCTCTGTCGCTCGGCCCTACTCTTGGTCCCTCATCCCTGCACCTCCAGGCCATCCGCCTGGACTCAGGTCCCCTGCGCCTCCTCGCCCCCTCCGTCCTGGAGCTGCCCCTCTGCTGAGGACCCCCGCTGCGGGCCTCGGCCTCGGTCTCTGCCCGCGCGTCTTTCGCACGCCCCCACCCCACCCCCGCACCGCCTCCATCTGGCTCGGGTGTTTTGCCCCGTCCCTTTCCTCTCCGTTGCCTTTTTCTGTCGTTCCTGCCTCCTCCGATTTGCTTTGTTCACGTGCATTTTCCCTCTGGGGCGGGGGCGGGCTGCGCCGTGCCTCGGGGAGGGACTGGGTTCCGCGCCCGGAGGGAACGGGGCCGGGCTGGGGCGGGAGCAGCAGCGGCGGGAGCTGGAGGAGGCCGGGGTGAGGGACCCGAGGGGTCGGTAGCCGCCGCCCCGAGGGTGGGGCTGCACCTGTCGGCCGGGGCCGGCGGGGCGGGGCCGGCTCTTTATTTACCTTTGGCGGGAGGGGGGGAGGGAAGAGAGGCGCCTCCTAACCCGTGTTCCCCTGCAGCTTCTGCCGTGCTACGCGACCCCCCAGCCCGTGCACCCACTCCACGCTCAGCTCAACACATAGATCCAACCCTCTCCCCAAACCCCCAATTTTTCCCATTCCAACTCCCAATTTCTCCCGCCTACACCTCCCAGTGACCTCAGGCTGAGAGAATAATTCGTATTATTATTACAAACAAACTCACTCTCCAAGCCTGATTTCTGAGACCCGATTTATTTCCATGGATACCCCCTCCTCCTCTGCTGTCACCTCTCGCGTTCTCTTCCCTCCCCCTCCCTGCCCCCCGCGGCTCTGACTCAGCTCTCCCTCTTCCACAAAGGCCACCTCCCCTCCCTCCGGCTCTGCCCTCCCCCGGGGCTCTGCTCCTCACATTGTGCTCTGCTGCCCGGTCCCTGCTGTCCCTGTCCAGATGTCCACTTTCCTCTTCTTCCCCAGCCACAGCTTCTGGCCTGGCCCATCTCACCACTCCCCTGGAGCCCTAAGTGACAGCAGGCCAACTTTGGAGGGTCGGCCCCTTCCTCTGCTCCAGCTGTGCTGTTGGTTGTGCAGCGCATTCTGCCCAAGCCGCCCTTCCGTGCAGCACTTCCCAAGAATGGGCCCTACCCCTAAACTCAGAGTCACAAAGGCACACGTGTATACAGGACCTGTAAGGGCAGATGGTTGACCCTTTACATCCCATGCTTGACCCTTTACAACCACTAGCCCCAACTGCTGCTTCTCCAAGTAGTCTCCATTCCTGGGGAGCTGGGGCCTGACCTTAGCAATGACCATCCATCCTCCAGTCTCCCAGCCAGCTCTCAGACCCTGTCCACCCCCTCCCACTGTGTTGTCTTCTCTCTGACTTGAATTCCTATTCTTTTAACTCCTGTTTTAGAAAGTTCTCTCCTCTCCTGCCTGCTTCTCTCCTTCCTCTCCTCCATTCCCTCCACTTCAATCCATCCCTTGTCTCCCCACAGTCAGGGGAAATGTCTCCTCTCACCCTTCACTTCTCTGCTATCACTGCTTCTGGGAGGACACACCCAATTCCCTGCTATCCCCTCCGAGTCTTCTTCCTGAAGGACTCACCGACTCCCTGAGAGCCCGTTTAGGGAAGATACATTCCGCCCTTGAGAAGCTCTGCCTCAGTAGAGTGACGGCAGGGGCAAGGGCCAGCTCCCGCATAGAAACCCTCAAAGATTCCTCAGCACAGAGTAAGAATTGTTTTCCTGCTAAAACCCAGCCTCGGACCGCTCCATGTAAACAACAACAGACAAGGCCATAGAAAGAACACTTACTTTCTGAGTGTGCTATTCTTGGGTGAGCTAAAACTGAATATTTTGGCTCAGCGTTATTATTTCTCTCACCAAAAATGTGGGGCTGTGAGAGGAAAGGGGCCCCCAGCTGGAGGGAAGGGAGGGCTGTGAGGGGCTGGCCCCAGGGTGTGGCCTTGGCATTCTGTGGGGGCCACCCCGGGAGGTGAGGGCAGAGCAAATAGCCTCTGGCCCCTGCAGGGAACGAGGTGATAGCAGTGGACTGGAAGGGCCTGAAGGATGTCGATCAGATCAACATGGACAGCACCAGCTCGCTGCACGGGAGCAGCCTCCACCGGCCGTCCACTGAGGTGAGGCCCCCCTGGCCAACGGACCTCTGAGAGACCCGAGAACCACCATGAATAAGGCCCCCCAGCCTCTAGCTGCCTGATCCTTGAATTCTCTTTCTAAACCCCAAGGCAACAACATCCCAAACACTCCTCCTAACTGACACTTTCACAGAACATTTCTCCTGACTTTCCTCAAAACACATGCCAATCATTCCACACGGACATCCTAATTCCCTACGTCAACCTCAAGAAACCATCCCCACTCTACACACCCCTGGAGTCCCTCCGTCGAAGGTGGGGTTACTTGCATTCCTGGAAGTGGCTGGGATGCCCATTGCCTTTCCTCTCTCCTCGCAGCAAACTCGAACCGATTTCTCCTGGGACGGCATCAATGTGAGTGCAGCTGCCCCCAGACCTCCCCAGTCCTCCCTCCTCCTCCTCATACTCTCCCTTAGACCTTACACAGAACACGCTGCTCCCTGACTCTGCGAGCCCTCACATTCTCCACCTGTCCCCAGTTCCCAGGTGGTTGGGGCATACACCTCCTTGGGACTCTTGGCCATAGCAGTTTTCCTTACCACCTGCCCTAGCTCTGATCCTTCTTCCTGGAAATCATGACCTCTCCTCCATATATAAAGCACGTCCACACCTTTTTTATTCCTCTGCCCTTCCTGCCGTGTTCCCTATCCTAGCTCTCCATGGAGGACACCACTTCCATTCTTCCGAAGCTTAAGCGAAACTCCAACGCCTATGGCATTGGGGCCCTGGCCAAGTCATCATTCTCAGGTGAGACTCCCGACCTAGGGACACACCCTGGTGGGAGAATACCTTCGGGCTCCTGGTCTCAGTCTCCCTGCTCCTTCAAGCCCAATGAAGACCGGTATCCTTATCCCCCTGACCTGGCTGCCCTTCCAGTCAAGCCTCTGCCAAACTCCAGGCTACCCCCATCTCTGGAGTCCTGGGGACTACCTGCCCCAATGGATAGAGTCCCTGGGACTAAGGTGGGATAGTGGGGAGGGTCTGGTATGCGTATTGTGTGATATTCTGGAGGGTGTGGGAAATGTCTGGCCCTCTAGGGATCTCTCGAAGCATGAAGGACCATGTGACAAAGCCCACAGCCATGGGGCAAGGCCGGGTGGCCCACATGATCGAGTGGCAGGGCTGGGGGAAGACGCCCGCCATTCAGCCACAACACAGCCACGAGGCCGTGCGCAGGGACACAGATGCCTACTCTGACCTCAGCGATGGCGAGAAGGAAGCACGTTTCTTAGCAGGTACTTGTACCTTAGATCCTCAAGAGACACATTTTCAGGTTGGCCAGGGACTGACATTCCAGCCTGGCTCCCTGTGGCAGGATTGTCTCTAGCCATATGTTGACCATAGGCTTACATTTCCCAAACAGCTTGAATTTCAAGAATTCTGACTTGTTAATTCTGCTAAGTACCCTCAATCATATTTTTATGATCATTTCATAAAATGAGGGGAATTAGATGGAATTTGTGATCCTCCTGTCCCAGATGCTGTTTCTTTTCATCGTTGGGACTATCCAACCCCTGAACTCCCTTAATACAGGAGAAAAAAATGCAGGGGCCTTGGTCTTTGACAGGCCCTGCTTCTACTTACATTTCTAGAAGTAAAAGAAAGAAAGGCCTTGGGGCTCTCTTCTAGCCTTTGCCCACCAGCTTTTGGTGTCATGAATTCATTTGCGGACCCATTACAGTGACAACAACTAGGTGATCAAGAGAATTGGGTGCTGGACCAGGTGTCTGCAGAAACGGTTTAGTTCCAGGAAAGCAGTATACGTCCAATGATAGGCACACAGTGTGCCTGCAAGGGTGGCCGAGCCCTAGTGTCAGGTCTCAGTGAGAAGCCCAGGAAGAGTGGCAGGTCTGGAAGAGAAGGGAAGGGTCTTTGTGTTAGTGACATGGGTGGTAGAAGTATGGGTGAGGAGGGTGACACACTTACAGCGCAGGGTGGTGGCAGTGTTAAGCTTCAACTCACTCATGGCTTTGACCAGAATTGGGACCCCCTCCCCAAGTCTACCCACTCCCACCATGTGCCCTCCCTTCTCCCAATCCCTTGAACTTCCAACTTAATGTCATTGTGGACCCACAATCCCATGATGCTCTTGAAACCTACCTTCTAGGTTATAATTCTTAAAAACCTCAAAAATAAATTTCTGGAAATCCCTAATTTTAGTCCCCTAAGATATCTCATCAAAAGACCCCCAACAATTTCCCCTCAGGAATCCCAAATCTGACCTTTCGGGAAGCCCCCTACGATTTTGCCTTGTTTTGGGGTACACGCAAAGGCTGTGCTGTCCAGTACCGTGGCCACCGGCCACATGTAGCTCTGCACATCTCTGAATGAGGTGTGCTGTAAGTGTAAAACGCAGACAAGATTTCGCACCAATAAAAGAATGTAAAATATCTCATTAGTAATTTTTATACTGTTTTTAGGTTGAGGTGATAATCTTTTTATATCTTGGATTCAGTAAGATATATTATTCCAATTAATTTTACTTGTTTATTTTTAATTTTCTCAAATGTGGCTACTAGAAAATTTTAAGTTATATCAGTGGCTTGCGTTATATTTCTATTGAATAGTGCGGCACTAAGCTGTCTCCCCGCCCCATGCATGTGTCTGTGGGTTCCCTGAGGCATTTTGTGGTCACTGTGTTTCTTCTCACAGGCGTCATGGAGCAGTTTGCTATCTCTGAAGCCACACTCATGGCCTGGTCTTCCATGGATGGTGAGGACATGAGTGTCAACTCCACCCAGGAGCCGTTAGGCTGCAACTACAGTGACAACTACCAGGAGCTGATGGAGAGTCAGGGTGAGAGATGGCTCCAGAATCCAGCCCCTGGGGCCCACGAGGCCTCCCCAGCTATCTGGGCTGCCTCTACTCATCTCTGTTCTTTTGAGACCTCCCTGTCCATCCCTCAGCTTTCCTTCTGTCCCCTCTACTCTCTGTGTCCTCTCTGCCTGGCCCTCAGGGCTCTGTGCTGTCACTGCTGCCTTTGGTGTTCTGTGGCCCCACTGACCTCTGTGATTCTCTTTACAGATGCCCTGGCTCAAGCGCCCATGGATGGATGGCCTCACTCCTACGTGTCCCAGGGCATGTACTGTCTGGGGTCATCGGATGCCTGGGAAGCAAGCGACCAGTCCCTCATCGCCTCCCCAGCCACAGGATCTTATCTTGGCCCCGCATTTGATGACTCACAGCCCAGCTTGCATGAGATGGGGCCTTCCCAACCTGCTTCCGGATACTCTGCTCAGGAACCTGCGCCTTTGCTGGGGGGAGACAGTGACTGGGCTCCAGGGGTGGGCGGGGTGGACCTGGCACGGGGCCCTGCGGAGGAGGAGAAGAGGCCCTTGGCCCCTGAGGAGGAAGAGGATGCAGGCTGCCGGGACCTGGAGTCACTTTCCCCACGAGAGGACCCTGAGGTGTCCACCGCTCTCAGCAGGAAGGTGTCTGACGTCACATCCTCAGGCGTGCAGTCCTTTGACGAGGAGGAGGGTGAGGCCAACAACTAGTCTCCTCCCCCCAACCCTGGCTTCCACCCCCACCTGAGGGCCGTGCACCCTCCCTTCCCCCAGCGGTGCAGCTGAAACGCGGGCGAGGACGGCAGGGAAGTGGAGGAGCAGGAGGGGTTTTGCCCAGGCTTACACTCTAGAAACCACAGGTCTAGGAACTGGCACCCAGGCACCTAGATGGCTGTGCACTTGGCGTGGCTGTGGGAGAACGACCCGGGCCATGGGCTTCTGGGTCTGTGCCCGTCCGGGAAGCCACCAGTGCGTGCAGCCTGGGGACAGGAGCGCAGCGGCCCAGCCGAGACTGGACCTCAGTTCTTCACTCCCTGATTCCGTCTTCCAGGAGTCTTGACTGTGCTGTCTGAATACCTCCTTTCTCCATTTCACTCTCGCTTTCCCGACTGTTTTCTCTGGCCGTGGCCCCAGCTCACCCCTTCTGTGAGGAACAGACCTCGGGGGCCGTTGCACGCGGCTACACGGGCACAGGGCCGGCAGCCTCTGCGTGGAGGCCGGTCTGCCCTGAGCGGGTCACCTGGCTGCTGAGCTCGGCGTCGAGGAGGTGGACGCGGCAGCCGGGTTCACAGGGCGCGCAGATGTGGTTCTTTATGTCGAGGCCTGCCCAGAGACGAGTCACCGATGAGACCAAGAACCAGCACGGCCACGTGTTCTGGGATCTTGAACATCCCGTGGCTGAAAGGAGGATCCTAGAGGATCTGGGAAAAGAGCCTGCCCGGGGCTGGCCGCTCCAGCTCTTGCTTCCCTTCCTGCCTTCTTCCGTCCCTGCTCCGGGAGCCCGCGAGGGCTGTGTCTGCCCCTACCCGCCCCTAATTCTCTGGAGCTGTTTACACTTTTCTCTTTGCCTTTTCTACATTTTTATAACTTCTTGGGGACTCAGGGTTGAGTGGGGTGGAGGGAGGAGTCGGTGCTGTCACTCCCCAGGCCGGGCGGGGCTGCTGGCTGAGGGCCGGGGTGGGCGCTCGGCTCCTGCCCTTTGGTCAGCTCCTCACGGTGGCTGTCCCCGCCCCCTGCCCAGGCTTCCTGCCCAGGAAGAGAGACACAGCAGCGGACTCTTCCTTCCAGGACAGTTTACCGTGAGGCACAAGCTTGCCCTCCCACACCCTCTTGCACCCTGGTGGGGGCTCTGAGCAGCATGCAAGCCCCAGCACTACCGTAAGAGCGCATGCCGGCAGGGGATGGGCAGAGGACACAGTGCTGCAGTGGGGCTCCCTGGCCTTTGGCATAGGCAGAGTTTGGGGAGGAGAGAGAGGCCTAAGAGGTTCGTTGTCCTAGTTCCCCCTTTTCCTGTTGCAGGCTCCAGCTCCCAGCCCTGGTGTCCTACCCGCTCTCAGTCAGGGGTCCTATTAATTGCATCTTCTGTAGGGAGGGGAGCAGTGACATCTTCTCCCAGACCCTGGGCACAGACTTCCCCCGACCCCTGGACCCCAGACTTCTATTGCTTTGGAATGAGGAGGTTGAGAGTTGGAGGTGTTTCTGTCCATCTATGACCCCACCCTGCCACCAAGGTCATACTCATGAAGTTTACACACATGCTCCTGAAATGCAGACAGGGCAGGGGGTCCCATGTCTTCCAGTGGAGGGGAGAATGGTCATCCTGAGGTTAATTCTTGGAGAAAACACGGGAATAGGTGTGAGCCAAGGTAGGTGTGATCACCTAATCTCATGCAGCTTGCACATGTGCTTGACAACATGTCCTGACTCGACATCCCAGGACCACATTGCTAGGAGCTCTAGGAAGTGGTCTGGCATGTCACCCTGATGGCTGTCCCCTGCCCATCTGCTGCAGGCCCTGGGGTTTTGCATGCTCACGTGACCTTCCTCCCACGGGGTCCCTGGTTTCTCGCCTTCTCCAACTGGCTCTATCACCACGTCATCTCATCCCCTCAGTGCCCATATTCTCCCCCAGACCATGGTGGATGTCTGATCCATTGAGCGGGTTCATTCGTTACAGTTCCTTTTTGCCCAGGACCCTGGGAGTAGTAGGAAGGGTAGACGACAGCAGCTTTCTTCCCTCCTTCCCTTTCCCAAGGAAGCCAAATGGTCCTTGACAAACTATGACTAAAGGTCTGAAGGAATCTGGCGGAGCTGATAGATAAGCAGAGGCTTGGAGTCCCTGGGGAGTGGGCAGTCACTGTAGACCAGAGGTGGGGGGGTGGGCGTGCCTTTTGCAAGGAGCCCCCACTCCACTCTGAAGAGGGAAGAGACCCAAGGAGCTGGCCTGGGACCATCTTGGGACTCTTCTGGAGGGAGGGACTGCCTCTCTGGTGCTGGGCGCAGGGTGCATGGGGGTTTGCTTCTAGCCTATTTGGGGGAGGGGGGGGCATGTGCTGGAAGGGGCTATGGGGGGGTGGGAAAGGGTTGCTTTTCCTTTGGGGTTAAAGGCTGTGCAGCACGTTTTACAGCAGTCCTGGAACAGGGCTGTTTTTATATTCTTGTGAATGAAACTGCTCTTGCTAAATGATTTTCTTTTTGGGGGGAGGAGTGCACTTTCATTTTCAATTGACTTTATTAAATGAAAATCCAAATCTTCCATTCCTCCCCTTCCATTGCCCTCCCCCACACACCTTCCTTCTCATCCTTGTGTTGAGGAGGGGATCTGGGGAATGAGTTTATTGTCTTCTCCCTGTCCCCATCTGTATACCCTACACTTCGTCTTCCAGGTCTGGGAAATATCCATTTTTATGGCCAGTCTTAGCATGTTTTCTTAATGTGACACTCCCACCCCAGGCCCAAGAGAGATTCTATGACATATATTACAGAGAGAATTCTATATCAATATATATAAATATTATAGATTATGTACACACGGGCTCAGATGCCCCCCCCCGCCAGCTCCCACCCAGGCTTCAGCGTCTCTCTTGGCCTGGGGCGGGGGAGGGATGTGATGAGGAGAGGGCTAGAGGTGTTCAATGGCACTAAACAGAACGTGGTGGCATCCTCTGACTACGCGTGTCTTATTTGGGGGATGGAGGAGGTGGGGCACAGGGGAGGCGAAGGAGGGGAATGTCGGAGAGGAGGCCTGTGGGGTTGGGGTCGGAAAGCCTTGGGTGTAGAGCAAGGGTTTTGGGGTGCTCACAGCACAACTGCCAGCTCCCACTGCTGGTCCGGGGAGGGTGAGAATGTGATTGTCCTGCGTGTGGGCAGCACCAAAGAGGCTTGCCATCTTGACGCCGCACTTCCGACTTCCCACCCCTGGGACAGGCACTTGAGGAGCTAGTCTGTGAGGAGGCTGCTGTCTGAGTGACCCAGTGACCCAGCTGCTCTGAGCCTTAGTTCTTGGCAGGAGAGGCATCAGCCGCAGCAGCCCTGGGGCAGAGCTAACCCTTGGCAGGACAAGCCAGGGACTATAGCAGGGAGAGGGAGGATGCATTTCCTAGGGAGTGACCTGGGCACAGGAGGCTGTGCTGTGAGGTCGGAGGGCTTTCTGCCAGAGAGAGCCATGTGACACGGTGGGGACTGGTTGTTAGGGAACAGGGCAGCTGCCCCTTCCCCACCGAGCCTTTGGCAACCTTTCCTGACAGGCCGCTGCCCTCTCTCGTCCTTCTAGACGCATTTCACTGCCTGAAGCGGAGGAGGGGGGTGTGGTTGGTCGCTCGCTGCCCTAGTAATGCCCAGCCCGGGCCTGAAGACAGGGGCGGGGGCCAGGGAGGGCGGAGGCAGACTGCTGTGTTCATTGTCACGGAGAGAAGCAGCTGTGGCCTGTTCAGAGGCACATTCTGAGGTGGTCAGTCCCTGAGGCCATGAGCTGGTCCCATCTCCTCCAATGTGGCGCTTACAGGGCCACGGTCATTCTGGGCCTTCCTTCACCCACCTCCTGCAGATGCGGGAAGGCCAGGCAAGGCCAGCCAGGCGCTGGGACAGGAGCCCTCGGGAGTTGTGTGGGGGGACGAGGGGATGCAGAGAGGCAGGGCATTCCCTACCCACACACCAGGAAAACTCAGGAAGCCCCATGGAATAACAGGGGCCTGCCACCAGGGTTAGAACCACCTGCCTGTCTGGGAATTGGCCACGGCTCCTCCCTGCCCAAGTTCTGACTCCTCCTTTAAGATGATCACTGTCACATTTAAAAATCTCTGGGAGGGGCCAAGACTTTGGGGGAGTTCTCCAACCTCAGGACACACCCTGTCCCACACAAGTCCACTTGCAGTCACTGACAGTATTTATAAGGAGGTCCCAGGAGGCGGTCAAAGGATCAGTTCATCTTCATCCTCCTCATCTGTGGACCGCAGGCTGGGGCCCTGCAAGATGTCGGCCAGCTCCTCTTCTGGCCCCGGACCCTCCACCAGCTCCAGCTCCTCCAGCTCGCCCTCCGCCTTGGCTGGGGCCTGGGAGAGAGCGGGCTCTGGGGACGGGGGAGGCACGGGGCTCTCTGGGGAGGCAGGGGCCACATCCCCTGCTCCCGTGGCCCCAGGTCCGTCCTCGGGCAGGTTCCAGCCCTCTGCAGGAGGGAGTGGTCCCGCAGGACTCTTTCGAGTTGAAGTCGTGTTCCGAAAGCTGGCCAGGGGAGGACGGAGCTGCACCCCAGACTTGGTGTGCCCCTCGATGGCCTTCTGCAGCTGGGGAGCAGCAGGAAAGGGAAGAGGGTACAGAATTAGAAAGGAAAAGAAGATGGAGGCAGTGGCAGAGAAGCGGACAGGAAAGAACGGATCCTGCAAAAGCACAAGGGGATGGGAAAGCTACCGAGGGGCAGGACAGAGGCGACACAGAGCAATCAAAGGAAGAAGACAGAAAAGGACAGAAGAAGGGGCAAGACAAAGAGACCTGCCTGCACAGCGGCGAATCCCAAACCACCGCCTCAGACCTCGGCTGGCCACTTCCTGCCGTCCCCGTCCCCGTAGCTTACCACTAGGAACTGTGGCTCATGGCCTGAACCCCCATCCAAACCCACACCAGACACGAAGGCCACGTGGGTCCCATCTGGGGTGAAGAACTGTCTCCTTCAGGACTGTGGCTGCAATAGGCTTGGCAGCCCCCTCTACTCCCATTGGGTGCTCACCCCAGCCCCCCATCTCTGCATGAGAAATGGATAGGGAAATCTGGAGGATCTTCCAAGATGCTAACAGCACCCCTTCCCCACCCACAACCCCCATCCTGTGCCCACCCTCCCTCCTGCTGCTCCAGTGGGACACGTCCGGTTACCTCCTCCAGGGCCAGGACACCTCTGAGCTTCCCCATGCTGGTCACGTAAGCAAGGTGGAGGCCGAGGAGCGAGAACAGCGTGTGAGTCTGGAGGGAGAGCACAGGTCAGCCCATGTTCCTTGCCCACACCTCCCCTGCCCTCCCTGCAGCCCTGAGCTGTCAGCAAGGACTTGCCTTGTGCAGGGTCGTCTGCTCCACCAGCTGGAAGGGAGACTGGTCGATACAGCAGCAATCAAAGCAGACAGGCTGGCTCAGCTGCTCCTGCTCCCAGGCCTCGATCTGCCAGGCAGAGGAGGAAAGTCACCCAAATCACAGAGCTTCCATGACCCCCAGATACCTGAGTGTGACCCCAAATGGCCTTCCTGAACCTGCCCAGAATCCTGAAACATGCAGTGACCCATCCTAGACCCTCCAGGTCAGTGGCTCTCTCCTTCTTCTCGGGTGACAGTTCCTGCCCTGTCCTCTCTCATTAGGACCCCACCCCAGCCTGCACCCACCAGGCACCCAGAATAAGGATCCCTCTTCTAGTCTCCCATCCCTCCCACGCCCTGGTGCCCCAAACGTTTGTAATTTCCAGCCTATCTCTCCCTGTTTATTCTCTACTACTTCTAAAAGATCCAGGGCTCCAGGCAAACTAGACTGCTTTTTGCTCTTCAAACATGCCTTCCCCTTTGTTTGGCTGTTCTTGCCACCTGGGGTTCCTGTTGCAGCCCCACCCTGCCCAGCCTGTGTGTATTCCCAGATCTTCCGATCACTCGTGCTTCTCCTCTTTTTTGATTCTGTAGTACTTCGCCAGTTTCTTCTTTTCAGAAATGGCATTGGTCATGCTCACTCTTGTGTGGGCATCTGTCTTATCTCTGCCTACTGCGTGTGAACTCCTTGAGAGTGCTATGTGGTATCGATTGGTATATATTGTGAAGAAACCAGCACATTCACCTTTCCCACAGGAGATCACAGCAAATATTTGTTAAATTTGAAGAGCTGTACTGGATCTCATGGCACTTAGTTAACTCAAGCAAAGCCAGTTTTTGTTTGTTTTTGTTTGTCTACATCAGAAGCATTAAGGCTCAAAGGCGAACTATCCTCATGACTTTAGATATGCATACTGAAATCCTAAAGATTTCAAGTAATCCATTATATCTCTGGCTTTCATAAATTTATCTAAAATTTTCTAAAATAGCTTTTCAGCCAGTACCCTCTAACGATCTAGTACATTGTTTTCCTATTTGTCCAAATCTACATCTTGCAGGCTTCAGAGAATGTCACCAAAGGCCATTACCTAGTTTTAGGGTCTAGTGTCCAGTCCACGGTGACACTCCCTCCACCAGTCCTGTCCTGATATTTCTGGACTACAGTCATGCCTCTGCTACACTCTCATCTTCCTAATGGATCACACAGGGTTTAACCAGCTCTCAGAGCACAGGATGGACAACTATTTAGAAGGTGTATTGTAAAGAAGTTTTATGTATGGGATGGGGGCTAGACCTTGCCAATCCTAGTATGGTAGATCCTGTCCTCCTGGTCCCTTCTATGATCATTTGAGGACTTCTCAGGTTCCATTTGTACCTTTCCATAACAATACTAGCAGCAACATTTTCAGGGAACATTTATCAAGAACTTCCTCTGTGCCAAGCATTATTGTAATTGCTTTACATGTCTTAGCTCATTTAATCCTCTCCAACAATTCTATCATCTTCGTTGCACAGATGAGGAAACAGAGGCATAGATTGTTTGAATAGTTTGCCCGATTACACAGTAATTGGTGGAGCTGGGCTTGTAACCTTGACTGCTGATTGTGTTCCAGGTACACCCCTAGCTTTTGTCCAAGGGCAGGAGGATGTCGCTGTAGAGTCTGAGGTGTTCCCCTACTTAGAAACCTCAGCACGAGTTAGAAACCAGAGCTCCGTGCACACCCCAAACAGAGTATGCAGAATTAAACAAATTAAAGCAGGGACTTCTGACAACATATAATTGAATTCTTTCAACATTACCATACTGCCCCCATACTGTTTTTTGTCAACACCAACATCTTGATATTGTCAAGGGTGTCATTTTATCTGGTCTGAAAACCATGTTCAAAATATGCTGAATTTTGACTTCTATTGTTGCATCTTACCCCTCCAAAATGTCTCCAAGAATTGCAGGAGAGTTAGTAGCTTCTTGAAGTCTTCCTTGGAAAAGATATAAGCTAGAAATGTGTGATCTATCTTCTTCGTAACCATGCCTGAACATTATTTTCAGTGGTCATTAAATCACCACTCTGATCAAATAGCTGATTTTCTCTCTTTAATGCATTACATACAAAACCCTCATTATTATTGTTTTAGCAATCTAACAAAGTACTCCTTAATTGCAATTATGACCCTTCTGATTCTTGCTTGTGGGCAGAGGAATGGTTTTTCTTTTTCCTCTGTGATCATCTATTTGACTTTGTCATAAGTCGTTTATCAGAAGTGTGTGTGATTTGAGGAGTGGCAGGGGGAGAAAAGAAGGTTTCCTTTCTCTCTTGTCACTCAACAACCCCCTCCTCCAACCTCGTGGTGCTTTTAAACTTCAATGCATATTTACTCTGGAAGTCACATAAGATATTTATTTTAATATAATACCTACTATGGTTTTTTTGTCAGCTTCATACTTTAAAAGCTCTACCTTTCAGCCTTTGCAGTGAGACTCATTCTCTTTTACCATATGGAATAGCTGCTAATTGATTTTCTGTTGTTGTTCCTCTACACCCCCAGGGTGTTTTCTGATCAGGACTGGTTAGCTGCCTGTTCCCAGGGGCTGCTCCACATTCTGCTCCCGCCTCACAACCAAGCGCAGTCCCTATTGCTTGATTTTTCTCTCTCCCAGATTTGATAACTACCTCTTTCGGGAAATAGGCATTTGTCCCGACACCGTGGTCATTATTTGCCTTGTGTTTGTAGTTCCTCCCAGTCTTGCTGCCTGACATTTCCTAGTTGTCCTTGGTCTCAGGGCCCTGATCAACGCAGCACTGTAAGCCCTGCCAGGCGCATCTCCCCACCTCCCTTTGATGCTATTCTTCCACACTGCTCTGTTTCTCAGTCCCCTGGTGCCATCTTACTTCAGTAGAGCCCTGCCTGGTCTAGGATGTCCCTATTCTCTAAAAGATCCAAGGCTCATATTAGCACCATGGTCCCACTTACACATGGAGGCTCAAAACTTCCTCTTCTGAAACAACCGTGTCCCTCTGAGAGCATTGCCAAGTCCTGCCACATGCTCATTACTCTCTCCTTAACTGACCTTATTTCCAACTTCTCAAAATACTTTCCAATCTAGATTCGCATTTTATTATTACGACCACACAATATAGAAGGTAGAAAAAAATTAGCAATATCATCATTTGCCAGAACAATCCACCCCAGGTTGCTGTTTCCCTTACTTACTTCTTCAGGTGACATGGTATCCACTAAATCCACGGACTCCTAGAGAAGAAAGACAAAGATCCCAGTTCTTTATCTTTTTTTCCCCCCGGTAGCTGTGGTTCCCACTGAAACAACAGCACTTTCTCCTTGGCCAGAGCCACAGATGTCTCCTTGCCAAGTCATCATCTCTTGCACCTGGTCAAAGGTCTCCTCGGTGGTGGGTCCTCTGCCCCTCTGATTTAAGAACCACGAGTTTCTCCCTCCTCAAAGACTCCCTTTCCCCTGAACCTCCCGCACATGTCTCCTCTCACCTGGACTGTTTTCTTCTTTGTGGGGCGAGCCCTGCCCAGCAAGCAGCGCAGCAGGGATTGGAAGATGGAGAGTCTTTGACCTAAGAGGAGTGGCGAGCGCATGCAAATGGAAACCAAGCAATGTCCACCCTGGAGGAAATGGCCAGGGGCTCCCGAGTGGTCCCTGACACTTTGCCTCCAAAGAACTGCCCTTCCCAGCGGCCTCCACAGACACCCTCTCTGCTACCCTTCTAAATCACCCTCTGCCCCCACTCCTTGGCAGAGTGCATGGAGAATCAGTGGATGAATAAAGACCCCACCCCATGCCCCCCATCCCCTAGCCTCACACCTCTCAGGGGAGTAGCCCTTAGGAGGAGGAGGGCGCAGACATAACTTGGGGCATGAGTTGGGGTGCATGACAGGAGAGGTCACCTGCAGGCTCTGGCGCCTCTGGCTGCTGTTTGTGGTCTGGCAGGGGCCCGTTGGGCTCTTCTGGGGACAGGAGAGCGGTAGGAAAGGGGAGAGGAGGAGGAGAGGGAGGCAGCTGTAAGAAAGAGCAAGAATTTTCGGTCTCAGAGGCAGAGGCTGTCTGGGGCTTCCCTGCCTTCACTGGTGGCTGGGTGTCCAGGAAAATCTACCTAACTCTATTCTTGCCCCGTCCCCCGTTCAGAAATCCTATATCCCTTTGAGTTCTCATCCATGCCATCATCCACAACCTGTCTCCATCAGTCCAGGGACCCAGGGGCACTGGTCTCTTAGGCACTGGTCCAGAATTTCTGGCTTTCTCAAGAATCAGCAGCTCCATCCTCTCCCTACTTTCCCTGCACCTGTCCTGGCCCAGCCCAGAACCACGGGACGGTGGGACGCGACGGGCTGGCGACCCCTGCTGACGGCTTTGCTTAGCCCCCATCCATCTCGCTCCCGGCCCTTCCCAGCGCGGCCACCTCGGTCCTCCCGGAGAAGTCCTCGTCGTCATCCTCATCCACGAAGGCGAAGGACTCGGGCCGGCCGCGAGGCGCCCCGGGCAGCGCCCTCCCGTCGAACGGCAGCTCCGACAGCTTCCGCGCCATGTCCTGCGCCGCCCGCAGCCTCCGCTCGGGACACAGGTGGCGCTGCAGGAGCGACTGCAGCTCCGACCGCTCCACCGAGCCCAGCAGCACCATGGAATCTGCGGGGAACCGCGCCGGCCTGAGGCCCCGAACCCGCGGCCCGGCCCGCGTGGCTTGCCCCGCTTTCTCCCTCTCTTCCTAACGACCCGTTTCAAAGAGCCCCCGGATCAACCTCACTCAGTCCCTTTTATTTCTTCCATTCAGCAGGTACAGACCCGTGTGATAGAACACTAATTGGTGCTAATTTGTGCTTATTTTGATGCAGCTGCGTACATAAGACTGTTAGCGGATAGGTGAGTCGGTACTAAAACAGGCTAATCAACGCTGCCCAGATGAAAAGAAACAGGAAAAGCCATTCTAACAGGCTGAGATGTGAACACACTTTAAAGGAAGTCTCCAAGCAATACAAACATTATGTCTCTACCCTGGATGAAGGGGAAACAAGGGGACTCTAGCTTTTGTATCTGACGTTTAAAGAACCCGGGTTCTTCTAGGATATAAACAGCACGCCTACTTTTCCTGAGAAGGTCTTTTATATGTCGATAAAAATGCTGCTACTATAATTAACATTGCCATTAGGTGTTAAGGCCGTGCAACTGTGGCAGTGTTACTGAGACCAGTTCTATTAAGTCTCAGTCATTGCTATGAAAACCTTGCACCTCGTTGGCTGTGCCCCAGCTCCAATAAGCAGCCACTCCTGTAGAAGTTGCTTAGATGGTGTCTGAGATTTGGGGAAACATTTGAACTCATTCAATTTGAGAAATTTGGATACTCTGATTATCTAAAATCAGAATGGTCTTGACCCGGCGCGGTGGCTCACACCTGTAATCCTAGCACCCTGGGAGGCCCAGGCGGGCGGATTGCTCAAGGTCAGGAGTTCAAAACCAGCCTGAGCAAGAGTGAGATCCCATCTCTACTATAAATAGAAAGAAATTAATTGGCCAACTAATATATGTAGAAAAAACTAGCTGGGCATGGTGGTGCATGCCTGTAGTCCCAGCTACTCGGGAGGCTGAGGCAGGAGGATTGCTTGAGCCCAGGAGTTTGAGGTTGCTGTGAGCTAGGCTGTCGCCATGGCACTCAATCTAGTCTGGGCAACAAAGCGAGACTCTGTCTCAAAGAAAAAAAAGAATTAATGGTCTTACTAGCGCCAAATGGCCCTATATTATGTACACTAATTCAAACACCAGACAAGTATTTATTTAATATGTAGTAAATACCTGTAAGAAGGTACGCTGGGGACATAGAATGCATAGTCTCTACCCTGAGGGAATACCCAATTTAGTGAGGAAGACAAGACATAGATATACAAATCACAATAAGGAATAATACAAAGCAGGAAGTGCCAAAGATGGGCAGAAAGGATGGTGAAGGCAGAGAAATGTGAAATCACTATTTACTAAAATTATTCACTCCTCCATATGATACAGTTTCATCTCTCCCTTAAGTCGGGCATTAAAGAACAGGTATGATTTAGTTAATTAGCAAAGGGACCATATAAGGAGCTGTGAGATTCACAGTTGATCCTCATTATTCATGGAGTCCCTATTTGTGAATTCACCTACTCACTGAAATACACTTGTAACCCAAAACCAATAGAAGAGGCGCTTTCACTGTAATTCACAGACATGCACAGATAGACAAAAAATGTGAGTTGCCCAATGCCCCTATTCCCAGCTGAGACTGAAGCAGTGCTCTGCCCTCTAGTTTAAGCTTTCACATTGTAAACAAGTGTTCTTTTTGCAGTCTGTTTAATGCCACCTTTTTTATTTGCATTTTTAGGCTCTGTGTTGGTGATTTTGCTGTTGAAAATGGCCCCCAAGCCTAATGCTTAAGCACTGTCTAGCATTCCTAAGTGTGAGAAGGCAGAGATATGCCTTATGAGAAAATATGTATGTTAGGTGAACTTAATTCAGGAATGAATTATAGTGCTGCTGGCTGTGAGTGCAATGTTAATGAATCAACAATATTGATTAAATAAAGTGTCTTTCAAATAAACACACATAAAACAAGATTGTGTATTGATTAGAGGAAAATGATGTGACCAGAGGCACGTAGGAACCTAGCCCTGTACTTCCTCTAGGAGCAAATTGTTCAGTATGGTACTCACTAATTCAGTGTTCATGGTGACTTTATATTAATAGAACATAACTACTATGAATAATGAGAATGGACTGTATTTTAAATTGGATTTTTACCTTTTTATGTATGTGTTACGGCTTTATTTTTCCTTCCTCGAGGATGATCATGTTTCCTAAGGAGCATAGGCTGGGCCTCCCATAGCAGAATGGATGGCCCTAAAGACAAGTCCATAGCACAGTGCCTCCTCTACCTCTCTGTGACCTTTGTTCAGGTCACCAGCTCAGGAGTCTGCTTCCTTCCTTCCCACTGACCTTTTGAGTCAACCAGTGGTAAAGTCTTGACTGTGGTGGTCTGGAGCAGGGCTCGCAACTCCCCATATGTGCAAGAAGCTGAAACAAACTTCACATCACGTACCATGATGTCCTCAACAAAGATCGTATATTTGCTACGGAAGGAGAAAGCACGGCGGGTCAGTCCTACCACACGCCTTCGCTTTGCCATCCCTTTTGTTCCTCCCATGAGATTTATCATGCATTCACTCACAGTATTTATTAAGTGCATGGGAACATAAAAATGATTAAAAAACAGTGCTTCCCAACGTTGACCCTAAGCTCAGTCTCAACCTTAGAACCTCCCACCCCACCATCAAATCTGAACTAATTCCAGCTAGTGCCCCTGACCTGAGCTGGTTCCAACCAAGGTCAGGCAAGTAGGGTAGCTTCTTGACCTGGATGATGCTGTCATAGAGGGAGGGCTGCAGGCTCTGAGCCACCATGTTGGCCAAGATAACAGCCACCATCATGGGTAGGATGTGAGCAATCTGACCCGTTAATTCGAAGCAAATCACAGCTGTGGAGACTGTGTGAGACACAGCACCAGTCAGTGCTGCTGCTCCTAGAAGGACACAGAAATATACCTGGGGGTTAGAGCTGCCATTCCTGGCATGGAAAGCACAAGGGGATGTGATGGGAATGACACAGAATGGGAGACATGACCCTTCCTGGTCATGCCAACATTCCTGAGATAAGGACTTGTCAAGAGGAGGAGTTAGAATGCTGAACTCTTTTCACCATTTTGATCTTATTTCGTGACCTTCGGCAAGTCACAAAATCTTTATGCATGCCCAAATCTTCATTTATAACGAGATGACAGTGGTGTCCTATCCATTCCTTGCTATAAAAAGTTTGGATTGTTCTTAACTGAGCATTTCAAAACTCAGTTATGACAGTTTGCCTTGGGCTTTGGGTGCTGCTTCCAATAATTAATAAACAAATCAAGTGAAAATCTAAGAATCGTGTGTAGACTTGGAGCAATAAGACCTGTGTCAGATCCTGCTCCCACTATTTCTCAACTGTGTGAGTAGAGCTTAATTCCTCAGGAATCCCATGTTCCCATCTGTAAAGTGAAAGTGGTCGCTAAATGATTTCTAAGGCCCTTGCAGATCTAAAACTTCATGATTTCATAAGCACTCTGAAGATAGAATCTGTCTTGCTTATTTTTGGTTATTTTCCCATCTGCCAAAATAGTCCCTTGTGCATTAACTACATTTCTTATTTAAATATGGGGGAGATATACTATTGGGAAAATGTTGGGGAAGGCCTACACAAAAATGTAACAAGAAAAAGTCACAAAGTGGAAATACAGGAGGAAAGATACTACTGGATGTTGCACACAATATACTTCAGAACAGAAGCTATTGAGGACTTGAATACTAGGAAACATACACCAGGAAGGATGGGGAGGGACACCTGGTGGCCACAAAGATGGAGAATATGAGTAGGTGACTCTTACTGATGGAAGAGCCTTCTGTACAGGGACAGTGACGGGGCAGTCGGGTGCCACAGGTGCTAAGCTGGTCAACGCTTCTCCATCTAAGGGAGGCATGGCCTTAGATGTTATGAGATTTTGGTGAAGAAGGGAGGCAGGAAGGAAGCATAATAATTCCAGGGATTATATTGGTGTTAGGCATGGCTATATCTCAGAGGAAATTTTAGAATAAAGAAATTAAGGCCCAGTGAAGCAGCTAACTTGCTCCACGGTCATCTAGGTAGCAAGTGGCAGGAGCAAGTCTAGAGCTATGTTTCTTAGCCCTTAGTCCTGTGCTCTTAGTCCCCATTAATATTAGCACATTTCAGATGGAATATCTGAGCAAATCATCTGCATTGTTAGTTCCATGATTCTTAGGAAGGAAAGAAAAAACCCTTACCTAACAACCAGACATAATTCTAGGTGTTTTCATCTTTGTGATTGATTCCCTTTAATCCCCATAATCCCTTTTCCTTATGAGGAAACTAAGGCTCACAGAAGTTCAATAAGGGCTAATGAGAGTTAGTGCCATGGATTGATTATCTGAATAAAAGTTGAATTAAATAGCATTAAATCAAAACCATATTGTGTAGCCTGGAATGAAGATGTAATAGGAGTGTTGGAGTGTGAGGATTTGGGGTACTCAGTGTTTGGTTACAGGGGGGGTGGGAATATGTCTCACCAATTACTGCATAGCCGCCAGGTAGGATCTTGTAGATGATACCATCAAATAAGATTCCATCAGGGAATAGCATGGCCATGATCTCTCCTACCAGCCTCCCAAATGCAGCTCCTAGAGGGAAGATAAAACGAGGGAAAGTGTTATGAGATGCAAGTTTCTTATCCTCTATGTTTTCAGAGTCAATCTGTCTTTGGGTGTTAAGACCAAATACAGACCCCCTGCATCCTGGGCCTTTCTTTAAGATCTCAGGCCTCCAGCAGAACTTACCTATCACAAACACAGGCATGAAGCCTCCGCAGGGTATGGGCATGGTGGTGGCCACGATGGACATCCAGAACTGGAGTGAAAAGAAGCATCAGATCATAACACGCTCTCAACTCTATCCACATATATGCATACACCTCCTTTCTCACTATCATCCTCCTTCCTGCAGAAATCCTGGGATAGCTAATCCTTCTGGAAGCCACCTTGTCTGTCACCTTTCCTCCAGATCCAAAAACCATAGTGCTCTCAGACTAAGAGATCACCAAAGACAACACTACAAGAAAGTTCCTCCAGATGGCTAATCCAAATCCCTCCTACTTTGAGTGACTATATTTGTCTTTCAGCAGTCTACAACAAGGAGTAGAGCCCCAGAGAACTCCTCTTTCACTGCCCCAAAAGGACCCTTACCTACTATACCCATTGAGTCCAGAAAGTTCATCTCAGCAGAGTGGCCTGAAACTCTTGAAGCTGGAGGATACCTTTTCCTAGTCAGGTTATGTTTCTGAAAAGGAGCTCCAGTTATAAGTGGCAGAAACCACAAAGTCTCAGTGACTTCCTATGTGATTAATTTAGCTTCAAAAGGATCAAAGTATTCACAACTTTGAAATTGCACCAATTGTATTGAAAACTAGTGAGAAATAAATTTCTTAATTTTCTACACCTTAGAAAGAATTCCCCTTAGCCAGGGCTGACCTCAAGAGGCAGTGACAAAGACTCTAACAAAGATTCATCCCAGAAGCTCTGACATGAAGCAAACATATATTTCTTCATGCCAGAATATGACTACTTAAGACAGTTGAGAATTTCCAAGATAAATGTGCAAAATGAAGAGACTATAGACCGAGAATTCCTTGAGGACAGAGAGTGTATCGTGTTATTTCTGCCCTCCCTCTGCACTGGCAAAGTGCTCAGTAAATGTAGGTAGGTAAGAAGGAAGGAAGGAAGATAGGCTGGTCAAATATTAATAGTATCCATGCAAAGCAGAAAAAGCTCCTCAACGATAATATTTGCTAAAACATATAACAGTAATTAATGTTCACCCAGGGGAACTTGTTTAAAAGGCTTATGACCAGACCCCACTAGAATCTACCAAATGAAATTGTCTGGAGACAGGGTTCTAGGCACTTCTATTAATAGTTTAAGCTTCTTAAGCGAATCTAACACTTAACAGGTTGAAACCCCTTGAGCTGTCTTGTACCATCTCTTTGGGGTAAGTACATAAGAGCCATAAGGATTTTGCAGGCTCGGGTTAATCTGAGTGCTCAAGTAATTAAAAAAATAGGTGACCGATAGGTCTGATTTCAGAGGATGAACTTTAGATTACCCTCCAAGATATGTGTAAGAACAGTAACAGGATCAGAGGGCACTGAAATTGTCAACTCCTACAGCACGAAGAATGACACGTGAGATTAACAGACTTCTTTAGCTATTGGCACATGAAAGAAAAGATCCAGAAGTGGTGTGGAAACAACTCCCAAGATTTCAAACACCCAAGTCTAGAGAAATGGGACACTAGAGATGCAGGATCACAGATTCCGCTATATTTAGACTCTTCATAAGAAGGAGTGATAGGAACATCAGGCAAAAAGAATTCTAGAGTCTCTGGCTGTGCCTGGAACTTGATGATACAAGGTAGCAATGTTAGACTTACTCAAAAAGAACTGAGAAACTGGAATTACATTCATGCTCACTGTAAAAGCTCTTGACTTAGAATATGGTTATATTTTCCATGTCTTGAGATTGAGGAAGACACAAATTCCCTTCATCAATATTATAAAAGAGTTGAATTGGGAATCTTGCCTGCCTCTACTGGCAGAAGCACATAGACTAAATTTAAATCAGACTGTGGAAAATAGTTTTAGTCATTTTTATATTTTAATTTGGCTATGTATCCTATTTCCCACTTTTCAAAAAAAAAAATAAGGGTATGGTTATGTGTCCAATGATTAGACAGTGAAAATGCTGGGAAGGAGTGATGATTAAGGAATATCATGAATTTGTAACAATGAATAGCCTTATGTTTGTAAATATTATAGGATATTATAGGCCTGCTGCCAACTGTTGGGCTTGAATATAGCCCAGGAAGTATGTGTTTCTTTCCCTGATACACTTACGATGTAAAGATTATCAAGGATGCAATCCAGTGAAAGATTAATAATAGTGACATGTAGTTGAGTCCTTCTATATCATCCAAGTAGGTTTCTCAAAGTAAGCTTGAATGTGTGAAGTGGAATCCCAGCATATAGTTGAGAATCCAAGGAGAGGGGATAGGTGTGGAGGAAATGTTGAATAATATAGAGTATTTTGTTTCTACAAAACTTTTCAAAATCTTGGCATTTTAAAAGTACATGTGATCCCAAAGTTACCACATAGCTCAGTCTAGAATAATACCAGAAAAATACAGTCATTGTCATTGGACAATAAACTCTAAGATCCATAAAAACTTGGACTTGGTTACTGGTGATGGGTTTGACTACTCAACAATTAATTATGGGAGGCTGGGATTTATAAATTAGAGAAGATGAACTCTGTGATGAAAGTCCAAAAATCAAATCCTTAATAAGACACTGACACTTTGTGACAAAAGTGTCAAATCTTTTGAGAAAAGAAATAAAAAAGGATTAAGTTAATAAAGTGAGTCTGCAAAATATGGATGCTATAGACCCAATTAACCCACTTAGAGTGGAATGGGGAAGATCATACACAAATACAGCTTCCAGAAACCAACAGAAAATCCTGAGAATATAAGTTACAGAGAGTTGAAATCTGGTGTGCCAAGCACCTGGTATCTCTAGTCATAAGATCATTGACAAGTACACTAAAAGAGGAGCAAAAAACAGGAGGAAATTTTAAAATAATTTTTAGCATTGCAAGCATAAGATTAACGAAAGATGAACAATCAAGTAGTGTGTACTTGGCACATAGGAAATGCTTAGTAACATTTATTGAATAAATGAACCCACTGTAACCATTACAGTATAAATATGATTTAGTGACTCATATCCTGGGAAAATGTAGATTCATAAAAGGCATCACATATAAATTAACAGCAAGGTATGCAAAAGCCTGGAAGTTCAGTTTGGAGAGAGGTATAAATAACAACACTAATATACAGGGGAAAATGTTGGATTATTCAGGCAAGACATACCATTAGTAAAAAGGCAATCATCAAAAAAGAAAATAAAAGGTAATCAGCATTGTAATAGATGTCACAACCAGGGGTAGAAATAAAAGTACCTTGTGTAAGGCAGTAATTGAGAAGTCTATAAATACATCATCCTTGATGATGGGTAGATATGGAAAAAAAAACTGATGTAAAAGAAATCAGCCTTTGTTTCTTAATTGAAGCTAGGAGAAAATGGTTTGAGAACGGCAAAATCCCCACAGCCTCACTACCTAAATAGAGAATAATAACATTTATAAAAATTATTTATAGTCACTAATAAAATTGATTTAAATATTTTATCTCTTTTGAAATTCTAGAAGAGAGATTACCCACAAGACTAGGGAAAAAATGGATGTGTAAATCAGCTAAAAATGAATCATCAGATACATGGAGAATGAAGTACCTAATTATCTAATATGTGAAGGGAGATTTGGTTAATTAATCTGAAGTTTTTACACAGTTATCTATAAGGCTAAACTCTATTTTGTCCTTGTTTACCCAGCTCTTGTGATGGCTTAATAATGTAACAAGTAGATCCATTAGAAGGGTTGAATAACTAAACACCACCAACTATGACATGAATGGAGCAATTAACAAAGATATTGGTTCACTGCTATAGACAACAACTTAGGCTATGGTTTCCAAATGATTTCTCTTTAGCTTGGACAAAGACCAGATGAAGTTCTACCTCTTCCTACCCCATGCAAACCCCAGGTTCCCAGACTGAAGGCAGGTAGGGGGTTGGGGGTCAGTAGTGTGGGGAGCAGTAAGTACCTTCATGACAAAGAAGAGAGAGATGACGATGACGACATTGACCTGGGGGTGAATCCAAACAGCCGACAGGCCCAGGCTCTCAGGATCTCCCGTGTGTTTCACCCACGTGTTGTTGTCAAACAGAGTGCTGATGGCCTCCCGGGGCATGAGCTGGGAGGGGAAGCAGCAGAGGGACGTGTGTCCCGGGTACGCTGTGCTTCCTCTTCTTAGAGAGCCTATCCCCCAGCCTCATTACTCAAGGGTCCCTTGGGCACTTTTCTCAGGGAGAAGCTACCCATTCTACTTTTGGGCGAAACTACGTATGTTCCAAAGCCTGAGGGGCATCTGTGCTTCCTGTTTTCCACGTGTCCCCAGTCTTGGCTAAGTCACCTGACCCGCACCCTTAGAATCCCCTAGAGCTGACCTCTCCAGCCATGAATTGACCCATTCCTGGTGGAAAGGTGAATGAGGCGATGACAAAGGTAACAATTCCTGGATACAGCAGGCGGCTGGAAAAGAAACAGAGTTAACCCTGCCCCTAACTTAGCCACCCCACAGTGAATGGCACACTGAACTTTGGCAAGTGTTAGTTAGTTCCCTGTAGTCCCGTAGTCTCAGTTCTTTAAACAAAGAGTATTCTCTTCACCAAAAAAAAAAAAAAAAAACAATCTTTAAAGGGGAGAACACACGATTCACCTCCTCACCACAGTAGCAGGGCTTCCTCATATTTTAACACTAGCCACTTAAAGGCATCTAATGCCTTCCCCAAAGATAAAAAGGGAGGAACTCTTGGAGAAACCAGAAAGCAAATGTGTAGGGCAAAAGAAGGGCGGTGACTCACTGCTTAGCAAGAAACTGGCTGAGGGCCTTGTGCTTTCGGACGCCGAGCATGACTTGGCGATGCAGATACACAAACACAGCTCCCAGGAACCCGCAGCAAATCCTGAGGGTGTAAGTTACAGGCATGAGAGCTCTTGCCCTGGACCTCGCCACTGCAGGGAAGCAGATGCCAGGCTCCCGCCTTCCCTTTCTACCCGCCCCCTCTCAACAATCTCCTCTATCCATGCCCACCCCACCCTCTTCCCAGCTTTGGGTCCCTTCCAATCCACAGCCTCACCCCAATCCCTGCCCACCACACCCAGAGCTGGTGACCCCACTGACCCGATGACAGCAAAGGCTGGGAGTTCCTGCAGGTCAAAGGGGAAATCCATTCGAAAATTGGTTCTGAACAGAGCAGTGATGGTGACTACAGGACAAAAAGACAAGGATTACGCCGGCAACTCCACCAAAACCCCCAGATACGGAAACAGAGGTCATCTGTGTTAAGGATTAATTCCTCCTTTCTTCCAATCCCAATTCCTCCTCTTCTATTTCATTTCCGTTTTTCCATGTACAACCACTCCTTGGCCGTACTCCCCTACTCCGTGACATATATCCCTGTCCTATACCCAGGGGCCTTGGTCCCACTCCCCGAATAATACCAACCATTCCTTCCCTGCACTGCCCTACGGAGCTGCCCTCCGAGCCCGTCACCAGCATCCCTATTTCACACAACCTGCACCGAGGGCCCCCCATTACCAGCGTCCTTGTTCCACACCGCCAGCACGCGGAACACAAAGGCGCTGAACGTGGCTGCGAAGAATCCTCGCCAGTAGTTCCGGACGGCAAAGTAGGTAGAGGTGACCTCGATGCTAAACAGCACTCCTGTAGGGCACGGAAGCAGGGTCAGGTGCAGACACAAGTGCAAGCTCTCCCCCACGCTCCCCTCCCCTGGACCAGAGGAGCTTTTGCTGAAACTGAAATCTGGGCAGAAGCAGCAAAGGAAAGTAGAAATCTCTTGGAGTCTCGTGCTCAAAACCACACACCTGCTCAAGCTAGAATTATTCATTTACTATTTATTTGTAGACCAGGGATGTGGTTAAATAAGACACAGAGAAAAAGAGAAATGAATGGGCCCTCAACCCCTAAAATGTGAGGATCAAGTGGCCATGTCCTCTCCACCCCTAGAATGCAGGGTTCAATGGCGTTCACAACTGTTGGATATCCATGGAGACTCCAAGGTAGTTGAAAAAAATCTGCAGAACATTTAGAAGGGGGAACAACTTCCAGAGCAGGTACTTGACAGAGGTGGCAAGCAGGGCCCAGAATTCAGAGAGACTCCCCTTAGCATCTCCCTCCAGTCTTTCCTATCTCCCCCATACACTCTGGGGTAACTTTATAGGGAAGAGATAAAAAAAATAGGAGGGGCTTTGTAAGAGCTGGCACTGCTCAATATTTCCAGAAAAAAAGCAAAGGAGTCATACAAATTAAAAACAACAACAACAACAACAACATAAAAACCCTGATAAAGAAGGACCACAGCAGGGGAAAAACCAAGAGGCCAGAGAAAGACAAAAACAACTATGCTTTAGCAAGGCAGGTGCCGTAAAAGAAAGCTCGTTGGTAGTCCTAAGTAGTACTGTTTTGCAAGTAGGTGCTGCAGCAGAAAATGAGGGGGTAGATCTACAGAAAAGAGAACAAGGGTGGGTAGGGACAAAGTAAGGAACAAGAACAAGGGCATAAAAACAATATGCAAGAGATACAAAGAAACAATCTTTACACAGATCAAGAACTTGGGGGTTGGACTTGGATTAGGCGCAAAGTAAAAATTGATGACACGATGACCTAAAACCTGGCTAAGCCTCATCTTTACCAAACACGAGAAGGGGAGGCGGGGAATGCAGCACGGGATTAGATGAGCGGAGAGGAGGCCTGGCCTCAAGGAAACCCGGAACCCGGCAGGTCGCCTCCTCTCCATGGTCTGCCCACGACCTTCCACCTGCCCCCTCTTCGGGCAGCATGCCACATCCTAGTAATTTTCTTCTCCCTGCTCTATATTCAAAAGTCACACATCTCTTGAATCTCTCAGGACCTCCACCTTCTCTTCGATAGGTGTCAGTCAACTAGTTCCATTGAGTCATCCGTGCCAAGGAGATGGTGGCCTGGCGGTCACTCCCTCCTAGAGCAGCTGCTGCATTTGGGCAGAAGGTTTCTAGTGGGTCATCCCCAAGTCACCTTCTCTGGGAGGCCATCCCCCATCCTCCTCTGTAGGTGGAGAATGTCTATCTCTCATCCTATACTCAGAATTTTAGGCTGTTAGAGCACTTAGCATTTTCAGATCTAATTATTTATCTGTTTACCTTTCTGAGTTACCCCTAGGATTAAAAATTTCTCGGAAACCAGCAACTCATACAGTGCCTAGTACATAATCAGGGCTCAGTGCCTATTCTAGGAATGAACAATAAAGGAGAGAAGAGGAGAGGATGATGAAGAAAGATAACAGACTGGGTGGAACTGCAGAGAACGGAGCAAGGCGAGGGGTAACCTGGGGCAGACAGAGCTTTGTCAATCGTGCCTTCCACCCTGCTCTTCATATCACCTCAGGTAAGGCAGCTGCCTCTGGGCCTACAAGGAGGATTTTTAAAATTTTTTTTATTTTTTTGAGACAGAGTCTCACTCTGTTGCCCGGGCTGGAGAGCCGTGATGTCAGCCTAGCTCACAGCAACCTCAAACTCCTGGGCTCAAGCGATCCTCTTGCCTCAGCCTCCCTAGTAGCTGGGACTATAGGCATGCGCCACCATGCCCGGTTAAATTTTTCTATATATTTTTAGTTGGCCAATTAATTTCTTTCTATTTTTAGTAGAGATGGGGTCTTGCTCTTGCTCAGGCTGGTTTCAAACTCCTGAGCTCAAATAATCTGCCCGCCTTGGCCTTCCAGAGTGCTAGGATTACAGGCGTGAGCCACTGCACCCGGCCCAGATTTTTTTTTAAATAGAGATAGGATCTCACTCTGTCGCCCAGGCTGAAGCGCAGTGGTGTGATCATAGCTCACTGCAGCCTCAAACTCCAGGTTCAAGCTATCTGCTCACCTCAGCCTCACAAATAGTTGGGACACAGGTGTGTGCCACCATGTCTGGCTAATTTTTTTATTTTTCGCAGAGATGGGGTCTCACTATGTTGCCCAGGCTGGTCTCGAACTCCTGGCCTCAAGCAATCCTCCCACCTTGGCCTCCCAAAGTGCTGGGATTACAGGCGTGAGCCACTGCACCCAGCTAGAAGGATCTGACAGCAGGAATCAGGTAGAGTGAGTCTCTCTTCTTTACCAGTAACAAAAGCAAAGTTAGCTTTGATTTGCCTGGGTGTAAACTACCCAACTTATGAATATTTTACAACAATTTTTTGAAATCCTGGGCTAGGTTTTGTTTCTGGGACACTTTCCCTAGCAGTCTGTCGCTGTATGCTCCGGAATGAGAGCTAATTTTAATATTAGCCTGAGCCAAACATAAAATGTGCTGCTAAAAGGAAACAAAGCATTGAAAACACAAACAGCTTTTGGAAACTCTCGTCTCCTAGGCTCTGGAACATTGCTCTCTCCTCCCACTCTGGATTCCTTCTCTGTCTTCTCTGCCGCACCCAGGGCTTTGTCTTTGGTCGCTAATGTTGCTACCCATAGGCGCGCTTTCTCTCGCACTTTCATTTGTGCCCCTGGCATCAACCACACCTATACGCTGCTGGTTAGCGAAGCTGTTTTCCACCCAGTTCTGAGCTTCAGACTCACCAACCCGGCTGCCCACTTGACATCACCTGGATGAGCCCCAGGAACTTTAAACGCAATATACTCAAAGTAAAAATTATCAATTTCCCCAGATCTGTTTCACTCTCCATATTCCAGTCTTGGTTACTAACACCACCTGCCCCACTCACTACTGTCCTTGCTGGAAACCTGGGCGGCAGCCTAGATCCCTCCTTGTCTCTCATCCCTCATATCCTCACGTAAAACCAATCACCTAGCAGCAGCAATTTTATTGTCTAACTCTCACATTTATCATCCTCTTCTCTATCTCTTCTGCCTCTGCCCAGTTCAGCCTGATCATCATCAGGACTAGGACAATTGTCTTCTTGTTAATCTTGGCTTAATACTGATAATCCACAGGCCAATTCTATCCAGTGCACATCTGCCAAAGGGACGGCATGGACATTTAAAGCTGGCCATGTCACTTCCTTGTTCAAAATCCTTTCATGGCTTCACTTCACCCAGGACAGCATTGCCCAAAATCAGGCCTGCGAGACACTACGGATCCCATCAGACGGACCCTGCAAAAGGCGCTCTGTGGGAAATGCTGTGTTGGAGCCAAATTCACAATGCATGTCAGCACAGCCAACGTTCTGGTAACTTCTCCAGCTTAAAAAACTATCTGTTTAGACAAGCATTTTCCAACTGATTTGACCTTGGAGCCATTTTTACACATTACATCTATTAACACCACGAAGAAGTATGCACTGCAAAACACACTTGTGCAAATCCAACCTACAGAACAAAATCTACGTTCTTGTGCGTGGCCTATGGGAGCCTTCATAATTCAGCCTCCATTTACCTGTCCAGACTCATTTCCTGCTATTCCTTCCCTTGCATCCCCTAGTAAAACTCCATCTACTGTCATGAGAGTCTCCCGACCTTAATTTTGCAATGCTGTTTCCTCTGTCCAGAATACCTGGACAGAATACCGTCTTCCTTGCAAGTTCCTACTTATAGTTTAAGCCTCACATCAAACGCTATCTCTTTTGTGAAGCTTCACTGGCTCCCACAGGCAGCTAGCAGAAGGTTGTCACCATGCTTTGCCCAGGCTGCCACTGAAGCATGTATCTGAGTGGGCTGTGCTGATCTTTTTGCCTGTCTACCCTTTCAGCCACGAGCACCCTGAGGGTCCGGGATCCGGCACCATGCCTGGCACATAACGGCAGCGAGATGCTTGCTGTTTTAGTGGAACGTTGAATTATATTCCTTTCACTGGTGTAAGTAAGGCTTAATTATAAGCAATTAAGTTGACTACATAGTTAATAAATTATTTTAATGCTAATATTTTTCTGAAAGAAATTTTTAATATTTTCTTTCAGAAAAATATTTAATATTCATAAAAAACAAATTATATAATACCACCTGCAAATACATTTATCATTTAACACTTCATGCAAAGCAGCCTAAACTTTTAAGTGCTTAACAACGTCTTGTGTCAAGAGCAATGTTTCATCTGTAACTTTCCTGTGGTCTTTACTTTTCCCACACTCGACACAGGACCACGGAGAACCTTCCTGATTCATCTCAGAAATTCCAGTTTTATTAGGAATATGCAAATTCTCCTCACTCTAAAGAATCTGGCTGAGTAAAAACAAAACACCAAAATTCTTCCTGTCTAAAAATATTCTCTTGACCTTCTGGATTTGGAAGATTAAAGAGTAAATAAAGGCGACAGTGGGTATAAATATAAGTGTGAACGTTTAACATGTGTGGAAATTCAAACACACCATCCTCCCGAGACAGGGACTAATGACTTTAATGACTAGAGCTGAGGACAGAAGTGCAAACAGGATGCTGCCGATGCGTTTGCTGACTTGATCTCCTTATGCCGTGCGCTTTGGCACAGTACTGGCACGAGTTAGCGTGATACATGTTCATTAACTTCAAACTCTTAGCCATATATCATTCCCGAGCCAAGTCATTTAGCTACCTGGAAGACTCCTCTCTGAAAAGACTGATTGTATTTTCATAACTGAAAAGAAATCTCTCACAGCTGGCCATTTAAGAAGCATATGCCCTTCCTGCAATTATGTTTTTCCAGTTGTCAACTTGAGGTCCTTTTTATCACAGCGACGAAGCCAATGAATGATCTATGTAATCCTTACCCTGTTAATCCAGCTACAGCTGATTTTGATGGGTAAATAAACAGATACTACTGCTTCCTCTGACCACATCCATCAGTTAGTCATCCATGATAAGAAAAATAATCTGATAGATCAGTGTTTGCCTTATATATGTAGAAAGAGCTAAACTCAACTTTAAATTGCTATCAAGGAACAATTATCTTTCAACACCCCCTGCCCCCAAGTATTCCTCATTGAAGGCTTACCATTAATCTAAATAAGGTCCACCTAAACTCTCATGTCCTTAAGAAAACACAACAAAATGTAAATTTTCCCCTGGTGAAGGAAGTTCATAGAGTCCCCTGTTACGAGGTATAATAAGTGCAGGACAAAAATATCCAACAGCACAAATAGATTTTAATATAAGTGGGGGAGTCCTGGAGACTGCCTAGGTTTCAACTCCTGGCTCCGCAACTTGCTAACAGAATGACCTTGCTCAAGTCACTCGCCTCCTCTGTAACTGAGTTCTCTTCTCTTCCTCCTATGTAATATCTGTCTCCCACAGCTTTAGGCGTGAATAGACATAAAGTGTTTAAAACGGTGCCTGGCACATAGTAAATGCTCACTGAAAGTTAGCTATTCTTTCTCCAGCGAGTAAGTAACCTGGTGATGCTAGCACTCGTGGATGCCGACTAGAACTGTTCTGGGAGCCAGGCCCGCAAGCCGGCTGATACGGGAGGGATCGGTCACTTGCCTCCGAGAGGTGTCCCGAAACAACAGCCAACTCCGACAGCACAGCCCACCGTCAGGATGTCAGCGTAATAGTATGGCTGCTACTGGGGGAGAGACAGACAGAGGCAGGTAGAGGAGAGGAAGGGGGCAGAGAGGATAGGAGAACAAGCAGGGAGGGGGAGTAAGGCAGAATAAGAGGCCTAAGTCACAGAGAATTGTCCGGTCCCATTGGCCCTCAGATTCCCATTGCCCCAGGCCAAGAGAAACTGAGTGAGTTTGGCAAACAGGAAGTGACCTTGTAGCGCAAGGCTCAAAGTAGAAAGTGAAATAACAGGCAAATATATGACAGGCAAGTAAGTCAATAAATGATGGCCGGAGAGGGGCTGGAGATGGGGTTATTCATGGTGAGAAGTGGCAACAGCATGAGACAGCAAGGACTCCAGACTGAGCAGTACCAGTAAGACCTGCACAAAAGAGTAACCAGCCTCAAAAGAACACGCAGCCCTTTGGTGGGAAAATACAGGTGTCTGAAGCCTGGGGGCTGTGATCCATGGTCACTCCCTGGATGCCCACCCCAAAGCTTGTGGCAGCCACCCAACCCCACTTCCAAGCCTTGCTCAGGCACCAGGGGTAGGGAGGAAGTGAAACTTGCCTCCAACGGGGGCCGCAAAGCAGCATCCCACGCCCACTGCGCAGGCCGACACCAGGAGATCAAGCTGCCCAGGCACGGTCTGCAACAGAGAAGCAGGCAGACCAGACGAGCAGAGTGGAGACAGGGGTGGGGGGTGGGTGTGGGAGGATGGGGCGGGGGAGGGGATCCAGAGCGACAAAGGTATAGGGCAGAGCACAGGAGGGAAACAACAAAGGTACAGGGCAGAGCACAGGAGGGAAACGTGGAGGGAACCAACATAGAGGGGGTGCTGTGGACTCTCAGGGGTAGCATAGGATCAGACAGGGGCCAGGCCACCACGTAGGGACACAGATCAAGAAGGGGTGGGGCTCAGGACAGGCACAGGCTACAAGGTATTATGTGATCACGTGGCCAGGGTAGGCGGGTGGGGGCTGGAGAAGAAGGGAGCGTGGATTAGCGCGATGCCCCCTTCAGCCACACGGCCGGCCCAGAGCAGAGGCAGCCCTCCTGCCCTCCGACACCCTGCGCGCACACAGCCGATCCTTCTACCACCCGGCCCCTGCCCATGTCACTGTCTCCACCTTACCTCATAGACCCCACAGAACACGGACATGAACTTGCTGAGGACGGCAGCACAGATGCTGGCAATGTGGACAAAGGGGCCCTGAGAGGGAGGAGGAGAGTGCCAGGTCAGGAGCCAGAGCCGCCAGGAGGGTTTGTCACAGTCACCGCACTAATGCTCCAGGCACTGTACTAGGCACCGGAAATACAGAAGACAGAAAGACAGTCCTGCCCTCCCAGAGCTCCAGCCCAGCGGGGAGGGAGATGATAAGCCAGTATGTTACCCTTTGCTATGAAGAAAATCAGGGCAGAGAGATGGGGAGAGGGAGGCTGGTGGGTCGTGTGTTTATTTATTTATTTGAGACAGAGTCTCACTCTGTTGCCCAGAGTGCCATGGCGTCAGCCTAGCTCACGGCAACCTCAAACTCCTGGGCTCAAGTGATCCTCCTGCCTCAGCCTCCCGAGTAGCTGGGACTACAGGCATGTGCCACCATGCCCGGCTACTTTTTTCTATATATTTTTAGCTGGCCAATTAATTTCTTTCTATTTTTAGTAGAGATAGGGGTCTCGCTTTTGCTCAGGCTGGTTTTGAACTCCTGACCTTGAGCGATCCTCCCACCTCAGCCTCCCAGAGTGCTAGGATTACAGGTGTGAGCCACCACGCCCGGCCTTGATCATGTGTTTAGATAAGAGGGTGTAGGGGCCCCCCAAGCCAGGTACAATCTGGCAGTGCCGTGAACAAAGTGGGGAGTGAACAGCACCTGCAGGAGCCCTGAGCAGAGCCCAGCACAGAGGGGTTGAGGGTTGAAGACACACAGGGGAGAGGGCAAAGCCTGGAGAGAGAGGATCCAGAGCCCCAAGGCCTCACAGGCCAGTAAGCAGTTTAGATTTATTTTAGGTGGGATGGAAAGCCATTAGGAAGCTCCTGACCAGAGGTCAGATGTGGCTGGTTCCAGTTTTAAAAGATGAGCATGGCTGCTGGGTGGAGGAGGAGCAAGGACCGGCACGAGCATAGGACTGAGGGAGGCCTGAGTGTGCAACCTTGAAAACAGCACAGCCTCTTTCTCCAGCTCAGTTTTCTCAGATCTGTGCAAGAGAACTGGCCTAGGGTATGCTAAGGCAGCGGTTCTCAGCTAGGGGAGACTGTGCCCCCAGGGGCCATTGGTCAATGTCTGGAGACATGCTGGTTGTCACACTGGGGTGCTATTGGCATCTGGGGGTCAGAGGCCGGGGATGCTGCTAAATATCCCACTGTGCACAGGACAGCCCACAGCACCTCTTCCAGCCCTTGCCCCGCCCAGCTCTGAAGTTTTTGTCATTGGACCCCAAGCCCAGGACGTTCCAAAGCATTTCCCCCTCCCTTGTGACCCCGGCCTGACCTGACCCCGGCCCCCACAACCCACTTCTGCTCCCAGAGCACCCTGTAGATTCTAGATTCACTCCCGAGTGCCCCTCCCAGCTCATACCTCTTTTCCCACAGGGATGCCGCTGCCCAGCCCCGCGGTCAGGGCGACAACCTTGGCCACAAAGGCCTTGAGCGTGAGATATTCCTTCAGGACAACCCCACGGAGTATAGTCTTCATTTCAGGGATTCCAGAGCCTAAAGGGTTAAAAGATTTTTGTGCAGGTTCAAGGTGGAGGTTACAAGGGAGCTGAGAGTGGAAATGGGGACCCGGGGCGGGCGGGAGGGGCTGCAGGCGCGGGATGACGGTGAGCGGGGCCAGGGCTCTGCTAAGCAGGGAAGGGGCGGGAGGAGACCGAGTGGACCTTCTCATGCCACCCAGATCATGTTGGTCTGGTAGAAAGTTCTCACCAACAGCCTGGGGAGAGATGAGGTGGCAAAAGAGGGCGCTGAAGAGGATGAGGATGAGCGGGAAGGTGACCCAGACCAGGAACTGCAGGGGGAGGCTGGGCTGCATCTGTGCGTAGGTCCACTTGTAGGCTGCGGAGACATGCCTGGGGTTAGGGCGGGCGAGGGGCCACGTGCCCGGTGTGTTCTCGTGCCAGGGTTGCTCCGTTTGCCCCTCCTGGGATGGTACCACTGTCATTTCACACGTGGAAAACCTGAGTCGTGGGCGGTGAAGGGGCCTGCAAATCACACTCGCGTGCTGGGGCTACAGGAGCCTGGTTAGAGGCCATCGCGTGCCCGGCCTCCCAGTGTGTCAGATATGAGGGGTTCCTGGGACTCAGGGCGTTCGGTGCTAAAACTGGGAAAGTCCCAGGGACACTGGGGAGTTGGTCACTGTCCTAGAGGGGCACTCAGCTTGGGTGGTAGCAGCATGAGAAGTGGATGTGGGTCCGAGTCTGGTCTTGTCTGGGGCTAGGGTCCCACCTGAGCCCCTCTCTGTGCACATCCTCCTCCCCAAACACACCTGAAGTAGAAACTCTAGAAATGGCTGAGGGCAAAGGTCCAGGTTGAACCTACCCTGCAGGCTTTTGGCACTGACGTAGTCCATGCTCCAGCTGACCAGGGCCATCAGCAGTCCCAGAAGCACCAGAAAGATCCAGTCTTCCCCTAACTTCCTTCTCACCACGAGTCCCAGACGGTGGACACAATCTAGGAAGAGAAAAGGGTAAAAACAAGAGAAAAGCAGCTAACCAGTCACTACCGTGGGTGCAGGATGTGAGAGCGGAGAGGAGGGGTTGGGGCCTAGGGTCTGTGTGTTCATCTCATTCCCTGCATTTCTCTGCCTCTCTGCACCTGCTGCCTCTGCAGAAGGCACCAAAGTCCAACTCCCCATGAATACTTGAATTCCTTTCTAAAACTCTTGTTTCTTGGGGTTGGGGGAGCAATAGCAGGGAGCAGGCAAAGAACGGAGGTGGGGAGAGTCCTTAAATCTCAGAGGAGGGTTTTTAGGGGGGATATGTGCAATGGAACACCCAAGTTATTCTCCTAATCCTGGTACCTCCTAGTCCAGGTTCCTTTATTCCTCACTCCCCATCACCTTGACATTTGGAATAGTGATCCTCATCCTTGCTGTCCAGGGTAGAACTGGAGCCCGTCTTCTTGGGCATCCCCGTGTCCGGCACCCTATCTGAGACCTGTTCTTTGTGATGGCCATAGATCTGCAGAGAGGGAGAAAGGTCAAGGTCTGTCTTGTTGAAGAATAAAAAAGGGGGCCAGCACAGAGACTCACAAACTGAAGAGGAATCAGTTTGATTCCTGAACCCTGGCTTTGGGGATTGCATGCAGGGTCACCTTGAGGTCACCCTTCGTGGTCAACTGTCCTCAACTCTCCACTCGCCATCCTCATAGCTCCCACTCTTCACCTTTGTCCGTCCATCCCACCTTCTTTCCACCCGTTCTGCCACCTGTCCTCACCTCGGCCTATGGAAGCCTCCACCAAGGAGGCCAATTTCCACTTTGAAGCTGAGACACAGAGAACCGAGCTGAGCCGGGACCATATGAACCGGGGGTGTTTCATGCTTTCTGTGTGTCCCACCCTTTCCCCAGGTCACTCTGCATTGCCCTTCCTGCCAAGGGGCTGAACGTGGGCAGCCTGAGGACAGATTGGCCTTGCTAGCAGGTGACTCTTGCTTGCCCTGTGCCTGGTGCATCTGGCCTTCCTTGAGAAACCTCGTGTCCTCTGTCAAGCTTAGGTAAAGCCCTTCTTCCTCAACTCCCGGTGCTTGTACGCACAAACGGGAGTCAGCCCCGTCAAGGCAAGTCCATCTGCTTCTTCCCAAAGTGAGATAATCAGCGCTCCCCAACACGTGAGGAGGGCGGAGCGGCACCCCTTAGGGTTGGTGCCATAAGGCATGTGTGTCTTCTCTGCCCGTTGTTGGCTTGCCCCACCCCCACTACGCTCACTGTCCTCTGGGGCCGGGGTCAGGCCAGGCCATGTTGCTGATTCTAGGAGAACCTGAGTAGAAGAGATCTGATTTCACAATACAAGCAGCAGAGTTTTATGCCTCAGTCCCGAACAGGCATGCACTAATTGCCCTGCTCATGGTATGTCTTCTGGGTTAGTGACACAGGGAGGCAGCATTTCCCTCCAAACCCTACCTGGAACCCAGAGAGAGAAGACACTCCCAGTGGAGGTCAGACAGTGAGGCCATCTCAGCCCACTGAGGTCCTAGGCCAGTGGAAATTAGGAGGGGGGTGCTTCATATTATATACCTGGGCTGGGTACACACAACAGCCAGATCTGTCCTGGCTGGTCTGGTGCTAACCAGTACACCAGGGCAGGGATGGGAGAGGGGTATGGGGAAATCAACCCTCAAGTCTGCGACTGACACAGTATCTGGGATTTTTAAAGGACTCCAGTTTGTGTGGAGGGGAGAAGTTGGGAGAGGGAAGGATAGATGAAACAATATTGACAAAGTGTTGATAACTGTTGGATACTTGGGGGTTCATTATGCCATTCTATTTTTGTGTAAATCTGGAGTTTTCCATAATAAAAATTAAACAAAGAAAAACTGAAATCCAAACTCCTCCTGTGTGCTTTCAAGGCTCTGTGGAAACCAGCTCAGCCCTCCTCCCCCAAACTAACTCACCATTGCTTTCCAGCATGAAGCTTCCTGCTTGCTTGGCCAGTTCACTGTCGCCAGAAAGGGCCATGACTGCACTTCTACTCAAGTTGCCGTCCCACCCATGTTTGCCCACGTGCACAGGTGACAGTGAGCCAGAGGAGGGGTCTTCCTGTGCAACCCCCAGTGTTCAAAAGCATAGGTCAGACCCCACCACCTCCCGGGAGCCTTCCTAACTCACTGTTCCGGCCCACACTGACCTTCGTGTCCCCGCTTCCCAACTGAGTCCCTGGTGCTGCCTTTGCAACTGCCCTTGGGAGTCAGGCAGGGACTGGGAGTGGATCCTCTTGACCCAGGTGCTGAGGGCACCTGCACAGCCCACCCCCCTCAGATTCCAAAGGGGCAGTAGGCTGCCCTTTAGCAAAAACCCTTTTAAACTCTAACCTCCTGCCCCAGGCACATTTCATCCTGTCACGCTGAGTTCTTTGGTGCAAGAGGCACACTGACTTATTAAATGTCACCTGTACATTTTCACATGACAGTGTCACAACCTTTCCTTTAGTTGTGCTCATCCCCACTACCCTTTCCTAGGTGTCTGTAACCCACCAATTCCAACCCCTGGACGATACTCATCCTTGGACACCCCTCATTAATTTGCAAGCTCCTGTCACTGGGGATCACATCTCTGCACCTTTACAGGTGCCTAACATGCCATAGGTTCTTACGTCTTCTTCTTGCCTCCTGAAAGCTCGATTACATTCCTCTGCTCATTGTGACATTGGTAGGCCTTTGATCACTCATATGCAATTCAGTCTGTTTTCTCCCTTGTCCCAACTCCTTTCTTTTGCCTGCTGCAGAGGGCTCATTTGTGTGTGTGTTCTGCCAAGGGTCTCGGCAATCTGGTGGCGTGTGGGTGAGGGTGAGGGTGTGAGAGACAGCTTGCAGCGCCCAGCAGCGTGGGCTCCTACACAAACCACTGCACATAGGTTATGTAAGCACGAGCGATGCACGCGTGTGTGGCACTGCCACATCCCCGTAAGACCGGGGATTCTGTTAGTAACGTTGCATAACAGTGCACATACATCCAAGTGCGTACTTAGGTGAGCCCAGAACCTTGAAAGATTTTCCTATTTTGAACACATTACCATGTGCTATTTCTAAGTTTTAAAAAAAAAAAAAAAAGTAACACTGCTCCCTCTGTTCATCCAGTTCCTAATTTTCACCAATCTCTGGCACCACTGTCTGCCTTAATCCACTCCCCCCCCCCCAAGGACTTTACCTGCGTGGGGTGGACGTTGTGGCGGGGGCCTGCGTCCTTCCGGAGCCTGTGCTGCAGGCCCCCGTTCTCGGAGGGCAGTCCGTAGCTGGTGCAGTGCTCGAAGGGCATGTACTGGTACTGGGGGTCACTACCCCACCAGCTTTGCTCCCCCCCACGCTGCTGTGACTTGGATTGCTCCATGCCCCCACCCCCCCAGCCCCGGCCAGGCTTTGGCCTGCTTGCCCCCGTCCTCCCCCCAGTGTAGCTCCTTAAGCCTCTGCTCTTGCTGTCCCCAAGGCGTCTGGGGCAGCATGCCCACCTCCAGCTATTTATAGGCCCCTCTCCGTCACATGACCCCCCCATTGCCACATCTGATCTGCTTGGGGTCGAAGCAGGTGTAAGAGCAGGGCGGGTGGGGGCTGGGAGAGGACCTGAGGGACAGCCCCACAGGGAATTCCCTCTGCCGAGCCAGTAGCATTGTCCCCCTCCTTAGTCACCAGTAGGCTTCCAGGCCCATGTCACTGGTCCCTCTATAAATATCGCCTGGATGAGGATGGGGAACTGCTGAGTATGCTCTCAAACCTGCGTGCAGAGCTGGTGCTCTGAAGCCCTCCACGTTGGCCACCTCTCTTCAGCGTGTAGAAGGTGAGGGTGGGTGCTGGATGGAGTGACTCTATGGCTTGGAAGCCCTGGAGCGCCAACTCACCTGGCAGAGCAACTGGTGTCTCTCTGCCATCTCTCTCTGTTGGCTTGTTCTCAGCTCCGCGAACCCCCGGGGTTTAGTCCTCATCTGCATTGTAAACTTCTGTCTGGCCAGCTCTCCCAACTCTTCCCGTTTCCAGTTTTCTCCTCCAACTCTCTGCCCTCCTGCTGCCAGAGGCTGCTAATAACACCTGGTGCCACCCCTGGATCCCACCCTTTGCACCCCCTGGGTGTGGCAGGCTTGTGGGAAGCAGGGGTGATAGCCCTGGGTTCTGGCATTTCTCCCACTTCCCAGACTGATAGTGTCAGCCACAATGCCACCCCGGATTTACGGGGAGGGCCGAGCTTCCATTTGGACTGCGGAGCACCCACCATAGCCCCATCAGCACAGGTCGGATACTAGGGAAGGGGGGAAGTAGGCCAGGGCACAGGGACGGCGGGAGTGGCAATGGAGTGAGGGCTTCTCATGACAAGCTGACAAACAAGAAAGATGATGGGGAAGTACTCTCTGCTGTTCTTCCCTTTTCAGGCCAATAAATAATTTTTGGCCAAGGACAAACTATTAATATCTGGCATCACATTTTTTTCAACATTTTTTTCTAAGACATCCCTGCCCTATGAACTGTCACTATAGAAGAAAAGTTCTAAATTGAGCCAACGTGAAGTTTAGCATCCATCACCAAGTGAGGTCTGTCTCAGGACAGTTCAAGTTCAGGGACCAAACATTTTCATCAGGAAAATGCAAATCAAAACCACAATAAGGCATCATTTCACATCTGTTAGGATGACTATTATCAAAACGCCAAAAGATAAGTGTTGGTGAGAATGCAAAGGGAACCCCTGTGCGCTGTTGGGGGAACTGTAAGCTGGTACAGTCATTAAGGAAAACAGTACGGAAGTTGCTCAAAAATTAAAAACAGAACTACTGTATGACCCAGCAACCCCACTTCTGTGTATACATCCAAAGGAAATCAGTATCTTAAAGAGGTATCTGCACTCTCCTGCTCACTGCAGCATTATTCACAGTAGCCGAGATATGGAAACAACCTGAAAGTCTGCCAACAGATGAATAAAGAAAACGTGGAGCATATACACATGTGCACACACACACAAACACATACACACACACACGATGGAGTACTATTCAGCCTTAAAAAAGAAGAAAATTCCACCATTTGCAACAACATGGATAAACCTAGAGGAAATAATTCTAAGCAAAATAAAGCAAACAGATATACTGCATGATCTCACTGTGGAATCTAAAACAGTGGAACTCATAGAAGCAGAGAGTAGAAGAGGGGTTGTCAGGGGCTGGGCTAGGTCAAGGATGGGGGATTGGGGAAATGTTGGTCAAAGGGTACAAAGTTTCAGTTATGTAAGATGTTTAAGTCCTGGAGATCTAATGCCCATGGTGACTACAGTTAACAATACTGTATTGTATACTTGAAATTTGCTAAGAGGGTAGATCTTAAGTGTTCTCATCACACACACACACACACACACACACACGGTAACTATGTGAGGTGATGGATATGTTAACCAGCTTGATTGTGGCGATCATTTCACAATGTATATCAACACATCAAGTTGTATACCTTAAATATATACGACTTCTATTTGTCAACAGTACACGAATAAAACTTGAAAAAAAAATAAAAGCACATTTTCTAACAACAATCCTATAAATCTCAAGGCCTATAATCTATGCATAAAGATCACAGATGTGGGATGTTTTAGGGACTAAAGGTTCTGTGATGATACCCACCTTGCCTACAGGCAGAAAATAAGGAAAGACATCTAAAGGATTGGTGCGAAATGAATGGAATACTTTCTTAATAAAAAAAAAAAAACATACTACCAAAGTGAAATTATATTCTTTGGAGGGCTTCAGAAACAGAAAAGATTTTCATCTGTTTGTGGATTATGGCTCCCCTGAAGGTGATCAGTTTCTGTAGAAACTTGATAATCACAAGAAACAAATATGAGATACAATTATTATTCCTTACTATTTGTGAGAAACTCGGGTCCCTAACACAGAGCAGCCTGGTCCCACCCAGACTCTGAGATTTGAAGGCGGGGAGCAGTAGGGCTGGGAAAGTGCTCACACGTGACCACGCCAAGTGAAGTTAAACTTAAATCATGAGGTCTAGAAGGAAAGCGCCAACCGTAATTCTCAAAACCAGATTCTATGAAAAGCACCCACAGGCTGTTAAAGCTGGATGGCAAGGATTTGAGCATAAGTATCTAGTGTTTGAAATTAGAAACAGTGGCTTAAACTATTTAACCATGGGATTTAACCATGAGATATTGTCTTGCAAAAGAACAAGAAAACAAAATGTAAACTATGCCCAACTCTCACTCCAACATCCCATTCCATCTAGTGCTTAGGTTCTTATTTGGAGGGACAAAGATGGGCTTCTGGGGATTTCTATGAAGCTCCTAACTGTGGAAGCACATTCATAAGCATACATGAATAACATGTATCCTTCCAGGGCTTTAAAAGGATTCTTCTAGGGTCCATGGTACTAAGAGGTTAAAACCTATAGGCTTATGGAATTGCTATTTGAAGGAAGGTTGTACAGTGGCCACAGAGGATACAGCGTGGAGGAGAAAAGTTTGCGTGGAGGCTATCTGTAGGTGGTGGTTCTCCCTTTGGCAACCCCGAGTCCACTTGAGCACGCATTTTCTGGCTGGGTTTTACCCTTTTTTTCAGACTCTCACCTCTGGCCTTCCCAGCCCACTGGGCAGTACAACCATCACACCCTTTAAGGATGTTTTCAGTCTTTATTTTCCCTCTGCACATCTAGGCAGCATGGAGCCCGCGCCCATTTACTTTCTGAAATCTCAGCTAAGCTACTACAACTTCCTTGGAAGACCCTTTCTCTTTGTAGCACACTTCACTGTGGTTATTCCTTCTCTACTTTCTATTGGGCCTTGCCTTCCCTATCCTTTAAGAGTCCTTGGCCTTTTCCCAAGTCCTGTGTATCAGTGCTTCCTTGTAGCACTTGATGGGTCTCTTTCTCCCCCTTCTGGCTTTTCAAACATGATACACTTTTCCCTGAATTCCTACCGGGATAGTGCTAACATGGAATAAAAGTTTGGGGTCTCAGTTTCATTCTCCTAGTCTAATGGGAAGAATCGACAGCCCAAATAAGGGAGGAGGGAAAAAAAAAATCTCATGCCAGGAAAAACGTCATAGAAGCAAGATTGTTATTTAAGAACATACATTCAAGTTGACAAATAGTTTCACATCCTGGTCTCAGTTTCCTCAGAAAGCTGTAACTAGAGGGTTATAAAGATAAAGGAATGCACTTTAGTAAAGCACTGACTGTTGACTTGTATTAAACTGAAACTCATTTTGCTATAATATATACCAAGCATTGTTAATGCTTCAATACCATCCGATTTACATGCATCGTCACATTTAATTCTCAGAGAGAACTTTTAAGGTGGAAACAATTTTCATGTTTAGACATGGGAAACTGAGGCTCAGTGTTGGCTACCATGTTCAAGGTCTCTGATTATCTTCAAAGGCAGAGCTAGCATTCAAAATCAGATCTACTTAATTCTAGACTCCATGCCCTTAAAGCTACATTTCTTCCTCTTCTGATAACTAAAAGTCTCTGAGCCTCATTTCCCTCTTCTGTAAAAAAAGGGAAAATGACTGTGGGGAAGAAGGAATGGAAAGCTCCATGCTCAGTGCTACAGCATACCAAGCACTCGATCAGCTCTAGCTGTTATTAGTGTCTTCCTCCTTCTCAAATTAGACACCTCTCCCCTCCCCTCCTAATATCGCACCTTTGGTCTGCTATCCCACTTCTTCTATTCCTTCCTGTTTTCCTTCCTCCACTAGAGGAAACAGGATGGGAAAGGGCAGCAAGGGCAGCCCCCAGCTCAGGGAGGGGGATAATTTTAGAAAAGAATCCCCTGGCAGAGGTATGCGGGGGAAGGGAATAGAGCTGTGAAATTCAACCTCATACCCTGATTCAAGGCGGGGGTGAGAAGGACGTGGAATTTAGTCAGAGACAGATGCTGCTTTGTAATTCCCAAACATATCACACCTCCAAAAAGCTTTCCTTTCCTTTAAATGGGTCCTTACCTTATTCCTACTATTCTGGTAATTTCTTAACCTGTCCTACACTTTGTATTCTTCCCTTGAAGCTATCCATCCCACTGTTGTTTTTTCCTTGCAGTATAATCGACCAGCTTTATAGTCCAATTTTTACAGCCTTTTGCTCCCAGTATTCTTCTGCACCAAATTCCCCTCCATCTGGTGGTGTGCTTCAGCTCAACTCGACCCCCCTTGCTCTTCCTCGACAGTCACCCCTCCCCTGTATTCCTCAACAAGCTTCCACAGCTGTTTCTTACCAAAACACTCCTACAGAATTTCCTATCTCTTGTTAAACCTCCACAGCCCATCTGCACCTGCACTTGCCTCTCTAGGAATATACTTTAGATACAATGTGCTCCCATAATACCAACTTACAAATAGCCCATTGTTTTGATCTCTTTTGTGCTGCCTGATAATTCTCTTACAATCTGCGCCCACTCTAGAAACCCTTAAATCCAACTTGGACCACACGAGAAATGAAATTCTATTAATACTATCTCCTCCCTCTCATCCTCCTATTCTAACCCAATCTGTTATTTCAGCATCCATCCCATAATCTAAATAACCAGAACCAACACTGCTTCCATCTCATGTGATTGTGAGAAATTCCAGACTATGCCAACGGAGATGCACCCACACCTGCCTATTAAAAAATGATCATGGCAGCAAAATAAGAAGGGGTTTGCAGTTCTAGGTGTGCCTTACGAGCTAGGGGGAGATGCTGCCGTGTGAGGGGCTAAGGACATGAAAATACATGGGCTTCTCAAGATCGAGCACTGACAAAAACAGAGATATCAGGCACACATCAGTAATAAATATGAGCATTTATTTGGCACCTGATGGCAATACAAAATCCTGGCAGTGGGAGTGGAAAGGTTATATC